TATGTAATGCAACACTATGCAGTATAAAAGCAACCTAAATGTTGCTTGAAAATATGCTGGACCAGAGAATCCATTAGTGGTGACATGTAATCAACCCAATTACCAGGTCTGACCATCCGCTCCTTTCAGATTCTTACAGAATGACTATCATGAATCCCTGCTGGGGCTTCCGAGCCGAAACATGAAAGTAAGTTTTCTGTGTTTCAGCTGTGATTCACAAATTGTACCCACGTGGGGAATCGAATCCAGGTGTTCAGAATGACAATTGAATGCTTTTACCACTATGCGACTCCACCGCCCATAACTTGGTAACAGACTTTACCAAATTATAAGGGATCCATCCTGTTGGCAAGATGGCCAACAATCTCCAACACTGTAACCGTTTAATCAGCCGTAACAACCTGTGCTGACTATCTGACTATCTTGAATCCCAAAAGGGAGCGAGTGAGTTTAGTTTTACATTGCTTTTAGCAATATTCTGGGGCTGGGGACACCAGAAATGGGCTTCACACATTGTACCCATGAAGTGAATTGTGAGTATGGTTTTATGCCAGTTTTAGCAATATTCCAGCAATAGCACGGTCGTTAACACCAGAATGGGCTTCACACACTGTACCCATGTGGGGAATCGAGCCCGGGTGTTAGGAATGACAATTGAATGCTTTTACCACCAGGCTTCCCCACTTCTCTTTAAGTGAATCAATAATCTCCACCAGACAATCTTTTTAACACAGGCCACAACTGAATGATATGCAATCTGATGAGAGTAATAATTCAGAATAATACAGTGGAATATTTTCTTAAACCGATTTTAATTTCCATGGTGATGAAGCTGTCACATTTGAAATTTTGGGATACTGGTGCCATATCTTGAATTTGTGTGGCATTGGTGTCACAATTTAAATTCTTGGATGCTGATAGCACTGTGATATTTAGAACGTGTGGATGGAGGCATCATGTCAATTCATGTGGTTGGTGTAGTCTCATTTTCATTTCAAGTGGGTGCTGGTCACATAATGTTTTCTCTGTATTTCAATCACTTGGTCATTTGTGTCTGCATGTGAATTAGAAAACCTGAGTTCGAACCCCATGATCCCCTATTGTAATGTAAACAGATTTTGTGAGTGAGTAAGTTTAGTTTTACGCCGCACTCAGCAATGTTCCAGCTATATGGCGGCGGTCTGTATATAATCGAGTCTGGACCAGACAATCCAGTGATCAACAGCATGAGCACCGATCTGCGCAATTGGGAACCGACGACATGTGTCAACCAAGTCAGTGAGCCTGACCACCCGATCCCGTTAATCGCCTCTTACGACAAGCATGGGTTACTGAAGATCAATATTCTAATCTGGACCTTCACAGGTATAGATTTTGTACACACCTCCCTGTCTACAAGCAAAGGTACATGTCCGTCTATAGCACACAGCAACACCACCCTAAGGTCAACACTATGTACATGGGCAATAACTTGAACCTTGTGTACAACAGGAGAATTATACTTAAATGCACAAGTTATCCAAAATTGATGTCCTCTTTGTAAATGCTGTAAATCGTAGATTGGGACATTACGATGGATGAACTGAAAATATTAACATACAGTTCAGGCACAAGTTACAGGTAAAAATAAAATGAACCTGATAAAAGTGAAGAAAAAACCAAAACAGAAAAGAATGTACACTGACCGTTCACATCATTCTGAAAATATTTAAGAAAGACAGCTGTGACAAAAGGAGTTCAAAATCTCTGCGATTCTTTGCATACAAGCTTTTATTTTATATATGAATTATTGGGATGAGAAATGTTGAAATGAAGAAGGGACATTACTCTCAATGAACATATTCTGTACACATCAGACTCTATATACAAAGCTAAAAAATGTGAGCATTTCAACTAGTGTGTGAACCATGCACAATGAAAAATGAGTGACACTTACACTAACAATGGATTAGAGTATAACAAATATGTACATCTGTGCAAAAATATACAGTCATTTACAATTAAATTAAATCCGTATGTAAAACCAATCTTATTCACAATGTTTATTTACAATACAAGAGCACAACCTGCATTGTAAGTGTGGTGGCTGTTTGTCTACTTGTCTAATTCACACAATTTGTACAGCTCATTACAATATGTTGAAAGAAGCATTTATACCGTTGTGATTGCAGCATCCAAAATTGATAACCATGGCAACCTCTTTGAAAATTATTACAAACAAATTCTGAATGAATTTGGATAAATTAATTTGTCTGATACATCAATCAGGTCAAACTAACCAAGCTACAACAAAACCAAACACCAAAACAAACACCCATGTAATTACATGTAAATTTTAAATTTTAAATTTAAATGTTAAATTTAGATTTCCAGTTCAATGTGTCTATCATACAACTTGATTATATCCTGATATATTAACAAAATTTCTAATTAAATATAAATGAAAATCAATGGCTATCAGTTGATCAGCACTGGATTTCAAAGCTGCAGGGATTTATTCAAGATTCCAAACTAAGTGCCCTTGGAAGGCAATTTGGGAAAATAGTATTTCGCACATAGCACAAGTGACTTTAACTAAGCACAGCCTCAGTTTTTACTATGCAATATGACTTGTGAAATTTGAATTCCAATTAGGAATTTTACAGATTTTGCTTCAGACTGGGGTCCATTTTGGCCCTCTGAGCATGTCCCAGTAAATCCCTGAGCGAACAACTGATGATGTCAAATTCATCGCAGATCATTACAAGATGAGGATTCCTTTGGAAAGTACACAAATCAGGGTGCTACACTCAGGACCAAAATCTACAATGGCAGTTGCAATATAAATCGTATACAATGTGCGCTTCCACTGAACACATTTGGTTCAACCATGGTTGAGAGGATGACATACATATTCCGGTTGCCATTGTCATATCATGGATAATACCTGCATCATTTAACACCTGCAGGATTCACATTACCTTTGCATGGTTACCTTTGCATTTGGAATCAAGACAGCATCTGTACATTTTAAATGTTTGATAAATGTTTGATGTTTGATGATAGGACCATGCCATATGATAAAAGAGTAAACTGTGATCAGGCAATAGAGTTTCACATGTCAGATGGGATTTTACGCCTTTTTCTTTAATGCTGCACTCAGCTATATTCCAGCTATATGATGGCAGTATGTTAATAATGAAGTCTGGACCATACAATACAGAGATTTATACCATGGTCATCAATTTACACAGTTGGATACTGACTGACTGACTGAGTTTGGTTTTACGCCGCTTTTAGCAATATTGCAGCAACATCACGGAGGGGACACCCGAAATGGGCTTCACACAATGTACCCATGTGGGGATTCGAACCCGGTCTTCGGCGTGACGAGCCAACGCTTTAACCACTAGGCTACCCTACCGCCCCAGTTGGATACTATTACTATCAACAAAGTCAGCAAGCTTGACAACCCCATGTATGCCTCTTACAACAAGCATGAGTTGCTGAAGACTTTGAAAATTATTTATGTTACATCACAATTTGGTTGTAGACAGATGCCATACCTGTGAAATCCAAGACCAAGGTTATAGCACTGACAAAGGATTATAAACAGGATGATTCAAGCGGATACTGGCATGACAAAGGGAAGTAACTGCACAAGAAAACACAATGCTTCCAACCATAGGGCAAAATGTCTCCCTCAGTAACTACTGTTATTTGTGGCAGTGATCTCAGAAAATATTCTAAAGAAAACTGGTGCAATGAACCTAGAGACAAAAAAAAATCACAACAACTGGAAGAAAATGGCTAATGCACTAATTCCATGCTTTGCCTGTAGCAGACTTTTCTGTTCTACTGAATATGCAAAACCTAAATGAATAATCAGAAAAGAATACACAATTACAAAGTGCATCAATTTTCAGATATACATAAAATGTAACGATGAAGTTACCACTTATACCCCATCAGACCCTAATTATCCCAAAGAACTGTAATCACGTGAAGAGTCGCTAGTGTGTCAGTACATTCCCATGAGCAGACATCAAATGTCGGAAGAGAACGAAACGAGTTTAACCAGCGATTCGGTAATTGCTGAACTGTGTTCTAAGATTGATGAGTGAGTGAGTTTGGTTTTACGCCGCTCTTAGCAATATTCCAGCAACATCACGGCAGGGGACACCAGAAATGGGCTTCACATATTGTACCCATGAGGGGAATCGAACACGGGTCTTCGGCTTGACAAGCCAACGCTTTACCCACTAGGCTACCCCACCGCCCTCTAAGATTGAAGATGTTTTGAAACGCCAGGACCACATAGAGATGCACTGCACCCTGCATCTCATAGCTTTGATAACTACATGTCCAGAACTATATTTATTCAATTCCACATGTTCCACAAAACAGGCATTTTTATGTGGTTCTTATAAAATGTTACTTTTTCTCACTGGATTCTTTAGCATGGTTACAGAAATAAGTTACACACGTATCATACATATAACAATCACCAACAATTTGAGTAGCACTTTTGAAGGATGACAGCAGCTGAAGAAGAGGCAACAACAATGCCAGAGATGTGACTTCATCAGTAACCAATTCACAGCACACCTAGAATTCATTGTTCAGTTTTATAACAATAGTCAAACAAAAATTTGAAACAAAACACCCAATTACTCATATTAATAACACTTGATATCATACACATTTTGAACAATATACAATTACCTTTGAGTTACAAGTGTGTCTATTTTTTATGGTAGTAGTGTGGTTCTGTGTGGTCCTGTGCACAGTGCTCAGGTTACAAATCAGTTGAAGTTAAGCAAGGTTGGGCACGGAGAGTCCTTTGATGGGTGACTGAGTTTGGCACCTTGACTCCTGAGAGTGAGTGAGTTTAGGTTTACGTTGCTTTTAGCAATATTCCAGCAATATCACAGCGGGGGACACCAGAAATGGGCTTCACACATTGTGCCCATGTGGGGAATAAAACCTGGGTCCTAGGTGTGACGAGCAAATGCCTTAACCACTAAGTTATAAGCTACCCCACCGACCTTGACTCCTGAGAGTTTCTAGGACTTCAGTCCTGCCCCACAACAAAGCATATCTGATACACGTGATCTCATGCAAGGCATGTGAGTTTGTTCAAAATTGCTTCTGTTCACCCAGCAGAAAATGGGTACCCGGTGGGAGAAAATCATGTAACTCACAGGCCACTTGGGTTATCCAGGATAATAATAATCAGATTATATTTGTGCGCTCTGAGCAGGATATGAAGCCTGGGAAGGTACATTATAAATACTGGTATTCTACATTATAGTAGTAGAAATTGATATTTTCCATTTATATTTGATATGAGTATCAGTTATCTTTTGGACCTTAACAGATAAGTAAGATTTTGATAAGTGCTCGGTCAAATCCATTTTTCAATTGTAATCTTTCTTTTGCCAGGCAGCTGATTAAGGGGACTAGATTTAATGGTAGACTCTAACAATATGAAAGATTCCCTCAACCAGTATTTTCTTGGTCTGCTAGTTCAAACCTGTTACTGTTAACCCTAGACAAGACTTTTTTGTTTAAAGTGAAATTCATCGGTACGTTTTCACTGCAAACAGACTATACATACCATTCATTTTGTTTGTGCATTTGTTGTTTGTTGTTTAATGCCATACTCAGCACTATCCAAGCTGTGATAGCTGTCAGTACATATTCAAATCTGGACCTGACAATTTAGTGACAGGCATCAGGATCATCAATCAAGGCAATTGGGATATGATGACATGCATGAAACAGTCTCGAAAGCATAACAATCCAATCTCATTAATTACAGATCAAATGCCTATCAGTGGATGAGTTACAAAGACTAAGGAGAAGATAGGAAATGTCATGACAATGAAGGCATGGATGATTGTGTTGAAGGTTGACTAGACTATGCTATGAATATGATTATATAATTACCCTAGCATCTTAGGCAGTACTTGATATCTGTATTGGATTGCAACGATGATATCAAAACTACAAGGTTTAAGTGCTAAAATATGAGAATGGTTAGAATGTTTTTCTTTCACCAAGCTATGAAGAATTCAACATTCCACGCATGATGTTTGAATAAAAAGTTCGTTTCAAATTACTTTCGCCAAGAAAATAAAAATTGAAATTAAGGAGTCCTTGTCATCACTAAAATGTTTAACAAACTGGGTGGGCGATAGAATCAAATCGTACAGAATGAAACTTCCTTAGTTTTGAACATAGTTGCCATGACGTTTAATGTTTCAACCTTGGAACCATCTTACTTTTGAACAAGAGATATTGGTCATGATATACATTCTGTGAATCAACTCTGTATCTGCAATGTGGATGTTTTGGATATAAAGTAATGGAATTGTAAATGAAATGCTTTATGAATTTCAAGTCAAAAGTCTCAAAATGCATTGACGTTTCGAAGTTGCAGGACACCATCACTACAATTGTTGTAGTTACCATGGTTACCAACTGAACACAAGGTCTTGTCATTGGTAGAGCCCCATCACCATGGTAACCATGCCTGTTGATGCACAATCTTGACTGACCGGAGCAGCTTTTGACTTCATGTAATGTTGATGCCATTTGAAATGCTACCCTGACCTTGAACTTTGACCATAAGTTTTGATGCTTCCCGCACAACATTTATAACAGGATTCATGAGAACTTGAGTTCCAATCTTCTTCTTTCACACATACACCATTCCGAGAGAGCTGACTGTATTGTATCTTGTCCATTGGCCAGCTCTGGAGGCCTTCTGTATATCTGACCTTGACCTTGACCTTGCACTACCTGTTGCTCTGTCATCACACACAGAAGGTTGACCCTTGAAGCACAGCTGAGAGACAATCAAAGCACATGGGACACAAGGACCCTTTTAGCACATGGGGCAGGCCAACATGAGAAGCCGTGTTTTCAGTTTTGGTCAAACCCCGGCATATGCCATATCACAGATCAGTCATTTCGATATAAGGTTGTTCCACCTTTTGAACACATCCCAGTATACCAGGCTGTTCCATCAGTTGAGAGTGCCCCTACAGCCAACAGCGCCACAGAGACAGGGAATTTTCTCATCCTCAATGGGAAATTTGTAGTCATATGTGATTTCCTCATTGACGTCAATGTCTCTTTTGGAATAGATAACAATTTTCTTTTGAGTATCTACTGTGATGATCTTTGCATAGCAGTTGGGCTGAAATGAAAACAAAAATAGGTTTATAGTTATTTGGTCTTGATATCATGAAATACAGGTTATTGTAATGCAGCTAGGATGGTTTCAGTTATTCAATAGATTCAACTGAATCTATGAGTGAGTGAGTGAGTGAGTGAGTGAGTGAGTGAGTGAGTGAGTGAGTGAGTGAGTGAGTGAGTGAGTGAGTGAGAGTGAGACTGAGTGAGTGAGAGTTGCATGTATTTTAACATCACGTAACAAGTAATTTCGTGAAATCCACAAGCACATGTATTTTTGAAATCCACAAGCACATCAAAGTGATCACAGTTTATGGATAAAGACACTGAAGAGTAGTTGTGGTGTTGTATCAGTGTAGATCCTATTACTACTACAGACATGTTACCATAACAATACAATATAGAAGCTGTCCTTAAATTCTGTCAACCTACTATCCATCAACTTCTAAGAAATGACTATCAAACATTTTGAAGTTCTGATATCAACGTGGTTTGGTAATTCCATTTAACACTGCACTCTGCAATATTAAAATTATATGACGGTTGCATGGAAATGTCCAGGCAAATCAGGGTAATGTAGCAGTGGTGTAGTGGTTAGCATGCTGGCTTCTCACGCCAAAGGCTCGGGTTCGAATCCCGGTGGAGACACCAATATTTGTGACCTGGGTCTCATACTGTGTTGTGTCCCTGGGCAAGGCACTTCGTCCACATAGCACTCAGTCCACCCAGCTGTTCAAATGGGTCCAGATGTACGGACCTATATGGTCGCGCGAAGCGCTTAGTAGCAGCTTTGAAAGTACAATTCCGTCATGGTAATAATGAAATGCCAGAGAGCAGCATCGAGTGGGATTCTAGGAGCAAAAATTAGCAGCATTATTATTATTATCATGTATATGCGAAAATTACTTACATTGCAGCTGTGATTGATGAATCTAGCAAGGTTGCCGCACTTGGTCGCATCAATGATGGTCTCACCATCAACACGGAACAGGTAGCTGCTGCCAATACCAATGTTCTCATACTGTTTCTCACGTAGGTCAGCCATCGACTGACGAACCACCTGACCCACATATTCGATGACCATTTCATCTGCTGCGATAGGCTCCAGAGCAAACAGTCCCCAGTCGTGAATGGAGCTCTTTGCAAACCTCAGGTGCTTCTTTCCGAACTGGAAGAAATAGTTAAGTGATTAACACCTCATATGAGGGAAAAGGATGGGATACTATGGGACATCTCTGCCTGTTATTACAGTATGTTTGGTGTAAGGAAACTGGGAACAGCAATTTAGTTGCATAATGGATGTCAGTTTGAAGAGGGAAGAAATCCATAAGTGATAAAGTCATTAAAGATTAATCTGACTTCTGTACTAAAATTTATTGCAAACATGATTCCAGTATTAAAATTTATTGCAAACATGATTCCAGTATTGCAATACATATTGCATCATACTGAACACGAACTGACGGCTATAGCGAACTGTTTTAGAAGTCCCCAATAAACCTCTGTATATTATCGTATGAAAAAGTCGTGAATAACAAATTCTCTATAACGAACTTAATGGCTATAGCGAACTGATTTGCAATCCCCGGGAGTCCCAGTTAATACTAATTAACGGTGTGAATAACGAACTGAGCGAACTCAATCAGTGTCACTAGCAATTAGCGGTGCTCACTTTGAAATCAGTGTATAGCGAACTGATTTGCAGTCCCCAGACATCTCAGTGAACATTAATTAACGGTGTGAATAACGAACTAAGCAAACTCAATCGGTGTCAATTAGCGGTGCTCACTTTGAAATCTGACCTATAAGTTGAATGTCAATTGTGGGATGCAACACTTGCCGCTTATGCAAATAATCCAGGCGAGTGGCAAAGTATCACTGCTAAATGATCACACAGTTAAAGTTCATCAGTCAACCCTGACCTCGTCAGTGATTGGTTAACTTCTCAGCTGCCTGGTTACCTCAAAAACATGACATGACATGAACAGTGATGAAACAGACCAGGTCCCTCCTTCGTTTGCTAATGCCAATATAGCGCTTCAAACATTGAAGAACTTTCTAGTTTCGCAGAAGACAACTGATATGTCTTCATTTGATTCACTTGCCGACTGGATGAGGCTGTAGCACGTGTGCAGTCGACCATGCGTGGACAAAGTAAGATCACAGATTTTGTAGTGAAACGAATGTAACTGCTGTATGAATGAATGAATGAACTGAGTAGGAATGTATCGTACTGAACAGTATGTCTTTATTGTTCTTTCCATGGAATTTCATGAATAGGGAACTACGGATATAACGAATTAATTTCCCTTGGAGTTCGTTATACAGGTATTTTACTGTACATAAATCATAGCATATAAAACCTGTCGTCCAAGGACAGACAAATGACCAAAGTATCACAGATACAAGCCAACATTGCACCCATGTGGGGATTCGAACTCGGATCTTCGGTGCGACAAGCCAACACTTCAACCCCAAGGCTACCCACCCGCCCCCCTTGAAGTGAAAGACTCTAAAGCATAAAATCTGCATCTACAATTGTCTGAAACTCATTCAGGTTTCTTTTTAGTTACAGGTTCATTCTGCACTTGGGAAACATGAAATGGGTTCCAGCAAGATTAGAACTTTACTGTCTTACTCAACTGAAACTTCAATAAAATACAACATGCACAACAACATGTACTACTCAACAAAAGCTAAGGACAATTTGAGTACAAACCTTAAGTTGGTTAAATTTAAACAGGTCAGACATTCCCATCTGGTCGGAGAAATCAGAGAGAGCTGTTTGTAACCTTCTGTTTTCACTCCGAGCTTCACGGGAAGACACCATGTTCTTCTTAGCCTGTTCAGCCTGCATTCAAATGGGTAAGAGCCAGCTTGTGAGAGGTAATAATAATAGAGGTTGTAAGATCACATTCAATATTACGGCATTTACCAGTATATAGAGAGAGACTAGGTGACCCCAGTACCTGGTACTAGTTTAAAATTGAGAGGGAAGTCTGTTGAATTCAGATAAATAAACAGATTGGATCAAGGGAACCTTTCAGAATATTGACAGTGTATGGATACTTTCTTGATCATGTTGATACTTGTCTTTAGTTTTGCCAATCCCAAATTTGACAAAAATGTCACATTTGGCTTTGAGAAATAAATACCACTCCAGATAAATATTAGTTCTCATGAAAATGATAAAAACTTGAATATATTTCTCATTGAAACACATTGTGTCATGACACCATACCATCATCAATTGTGTCATGTCTGTTTCACCAGTAAGAGCTCATGTAAAGATGGCTTACTTAGGAAATGATGTTCATCTTTCACAATGTTGATAAACACAATGTATTTTCACATTTCACATTACCAGGACCATTCATTTGGAACTGACAGTATCTCCTAAATAGCACCACCAAGGTTTTGCTTACCATATTCAGCAATATCGCAGCTATGATGGTGGCCTATAAAGAAGTTAGCCTGGACCAAACAATCCAGTGATTGATAATGTGAAGAACAATTCATATGTTCAGGGTAGAGTTGTATGTCATCAACCTAGTCTGACACCGATCCCTTAATTCTCATCTAAGGGACCATTCATAATTTATGGCTACAGGGGGCGATGATGACTTTTATGGAGAAGCATTAACAATGCAAATGCACCCTATAAAATTTATGCACAAAGTGACACCCCACCCCCAACCCGCACATCATGTACAAAATCAATGATTCGCCCTTCCCACAATTTTAAGCATATTTTTTTATATTCATATGTACAAAATATCTGACCCCTATAGTACATGTGTACAAAATTAATGACACCCCCTACCTCCCTAGAACAAAATGGGTGATCCCCACTTTACATCATCACCCCCGCTTTACATCATCACCCCCGCTTTACATCATCATCGACCCCACTTTACATCATCACCCCCGCTTTACATCATCATCACCCCTGCTTTACATCATCACCCCCACTTTACATCATCAACCCCCGCTTTACATCATCACCCCCGCTTTACATCATCACCCCTGCTTTACATCATCATCACCCCCGCTTTACATCATCATCACCCCCGCTTTACATCATCACCCCCGCTTTACATCATCACCCCCGCTTTACATCATCACCCCTGCTTTACATCATCATCACCCCCGCTTTACATCATCATCACCCCCACCCCCAAACCCTGGCGATAAATTATGAATGGTCCCTAACGACCAACATTGAGTGCTAGGGACCAGTTCATAGGGAAAAATACCCCGTGGTATCTCCATGGCGGTCCCCTTGTAATAGTGTGTCTGTGACCATTACTCACCAGTGTCTGGTTGATGTTCTCTGCTACCTTCTGCTGCATCTTGGCATTAGGACCATGCAACAGATACTGAGCCTTCTCCTCCATCGACAGCTTATAGTAACCATCTGTCCTTGCACAGCCTGGATACATGAAACAGATAGATATTAAGACATGTGAAGTTCCAAGCATTATACCAAGGACTAGTGCAAAGTTGAAAGTGTAAAACATCAGGACTTCATACAAAGGCACACATCACTGTAATGACATAGATGACAGTGAAACCCCAGTGAGTAAGTGAGTTAAGTTTTACGCCGCAATCAGCTATATTCCAGCTATATGGCGGCGGTCTGTAAATAATCGAGTCTGGACCAGACAATCCAGTGATCAACAGCATGAGCATCGATCTGCGCAATTGGGAACCAATGACATGTGCCAAACAAGCCAGCGAGCCTGACCACCCGATTCTGTTAAACGTCCCTTATGACAAGCATGGGTTGCTGAAAACCAATGCTAACCTGGATCTTCACGGATGGTGAAACCCCAGCAGTACCAGTGTTTCCGTTATCTATTGTATACCATATTTTGACAGGTACAAAGTTAGAATGTCAGGTAATAACAAAGGCTGTCGGTCATCGTATCCGGCAAATTTTAAAATCAGTTTTCTAATTACCTCTGTCAATTTTATTTCTCCTCGAAAAAGATTACGTTTCCACAATGACAACGAGGTGTCAAATAAAAAATAGCAGTCTTGGAAAAAAACTGGCTAAAAATAGCAGCACTGACACATTGCAATACCCTCTACATTTCTGATTGGTTGTTAGGGTGTAAGGTCTCGCGTACAACAAAAAAGCGTGATCACTTGAGCGGTAAAATTTACAAATGACTGGTATTTGAGTCCGGCTGTAGAAAATGCCAACGGCACACATTATTTCATACCAAGACACATCAATGTCAGCATAACATCTAACGTGAAACCCAAATACTCCATGTAACAAACCGCATTCATGTTAGGACTTTGTTGACAGAGAAACTGTATCACTTCAAACAGTGAAGCATTGATTAGAGCTTCAAAAAGGAGATACAAGTGTTCCACTAACGTTCGGGAAAGGAAGGAGACAAGCAATAATACATGAGTCAGGATAAGGAAAAATTACACTTTTTTAGAGAAAATAACTAAAAATAGCATATCGTGATACGCATCGTATCATTCTAAGATATCGCGATACGTATCGTATTGTGAAATTTCTGTATCGTCACACCTCTAGCATTGATGTTAGAGCTTAGCCTTGTATTGGCAAATAAATTGAATTGCCATGTTCTGAGATACAAGTATTGTACTGCGATACATATTGCGATATGTATGGTCGCCAGTGAGTGACTGTACACCCTATTTTCTACATACTAGAACCCTGAAACCACATGTTATGGTTCTGATAATATCAGTTTTAAACAGGCTGGATAGTTAGGGATTTTTTCTCTTTTACACAATTTATAGCATGAAAAGTATGGTTTTGTCAATTAATTATAAAGGGAAACATTAGGTGTAGGAAGGTATGTGAAGATTTTAATTTAAACCATAAGAGAGTGCAGATTTTACTTAAACCATAGAGATTATGGCAATATTTGTCACAATTTGTTTTGATTTTGGAGTTTATCAGAAACTAGTTGTTTGCTGTACACTGATGACTGAGAAACCAGTACATGTCTTAGAGGTGATGAATACGAACATTCCCAAACCACTGCATGCATGAAACATACGTCATAATATCAAGCAAGGGCTATTGTTTTTGCAGTTGATCAGCAGAATATTCAAGAATGCGTCAATACATATTAAACATAGCTGCCTCATAAAGTAGGGTTGTTACAACTGTCTGTTTGAAACATATTTGGTAACAGACCCTCTGGTCCACTGAGTGAGTGAGTTTAGTTTTATGCCCCACTCAGCAATATTCCAGCTATATAGCGGCGGTCTGTAAACAATCGAGTCTGGACCAGACAATCTAGTGATCAACAACATGAGCATGTTCTACGCAATTGGTATACAATGACATGTGTCAACCAAGTCAGCCAGCCTGACCATCCGATCCCATTAGTTGCCTCTTAACCACTGACCGCATATTCCCGAGTCAAAAAACAGACATGACACCAGTGCAGTTTGTACAACTTCGAAAGTCTTCCTATTCATAACTATTCACGGTTATATCTTGAATTGACCTTGGCAAGCAAATAGGGGAAATCTATCAATGTGTTTCAAATTGGTCCCTCACAAAAACTATTTGTTTAAAAGAAGCCAAAACATGTTATACATTTTTTAACTCTGAATTCAATGGAAAATTGGGAAAGTTAGCATTAAAGACTCTTCTTTACTATTGGACCCACCATGGAAATACCAGTTACCTCTGTAACAGTGTATGAAATTGATAACATTTCTTCCAACAATATTAATTCTTTCAACACCAGTCAACCAGAGGCTTTTACTGCCATGACACTGAGTTCCCAGAGACTCTGAGGTCATAGATGGAGCCTATGTTTATCAAGGAAAATATCAGCTTGTAAAACATTATTGCTACTACATATCATACACCATTTGAAAGGTCTAATCCTACTGTTTATAAATATGAAATATATTTTTGATCATATTATTTAAATAATCTTACTACAACTTAAATAAGTTAATTTTTAATGAAAATGAAAGCTTAAACATTTATAATGTCCAGATAAACCACAAGGGAAGCGAAAAATGCGGTGATTTTTTCCATTTGTAACATGTCATAATATCCCGTACCTTTTTCTTCTAGTACTGTTGTTGATATTATTTTTCAGTTTGATTAATTATTTTCTCGAAACATCGTTACTTTGCTCATTGACAACTTTGCTGAGGACCCATTGCTGTAGCATATGTCCGAGAATTGTTTTTTTCAATAACATTGTGAAAAATAGTTATAATCCTAATCCTGTCGATAATAAATGGTCATTTGAAATTTAATAAGTGTTTTCAGACATTGTGAAAAGTGATAGATTTGATAAAAGAATCATACGTTAGTTAGGGCCTCAAAAATATATACCTGGGGACTCGTGATGTCTTAGCCAGTTTTCCGGCCTACGGTGTTGAATGGGTTAACATAAGCTATCAATTCCAATATGTGAATTTTACTAATATTTACGTCGGGCAGGAAAATGGGCTTCATGGCAGGTTTAAAGTTACGCTGGCTGAGTGGGTTAGGCAACAGACTTTGTGCTGGCTATTAGGTGACTGACTCTGAGGGTGTGGGTTCAAATCCCGGATGGGACTCAACCCCACAAAAGATACAAGAATCTGTACTTTACTAAGAAAGTGTAATCCCAAATATAACATATGTTACAGGTTGAAATACATCAATGTCATTCCTGTTTAGATATTTGATATCACCATGATACCTTACTCACCTGATATTTTTGTCTTGTATTGTGCTTCATCCATTTTCCGCCGTTTCTTTGATGGAGATGGATCCGGAATATTAGTGACAGGATGATCCACCCACAAAATGTCATTAATCCAGTAAAACATGGGGTCATCGGATGACATCAGATCTTCATATGTCCGTTTTAAATACTGAATATCTTCTTCATCCATACCATTATGATACATTTCAAAAAACTTTTGCCTTTCGTCTTCATAAGACCTTGGGCTAAATGACACTTTAGGTTTAGGAGGTGGTAAAATACTGGATAATTCACGACTCCCTCGACTGTTGAGGGTTGCTGTAATGTCTGCCAAAGCATCTTTCTTTTTTGGACGCTTTTTGGGCTCTTTTTGTTTTCCTTTCTTTTTTGTCGGCGAATCGGACGAGATGTCGGATTCACTGACATCCAACACACTTTTGTCTTTAACCTTTGACACTTTAGACACAGCACTAGTCCTTTCATCACTTTCTCTATAGTCTGACACATCTGTCTCAGGCAATTCAAACTTGGCTGGGGGGAGACAGTAACTGTGGTCCATCCACACCTCCCGGGACAGACCGGCAGATTCCTCATCAGCCGAGGCTGTAGCATCTGAATCTGCTTCATCTGCCTGAGTTGGAGGAGCAGCAAAATAGTCATGTTCTGCAATAGCAGGATTGATATAAGGACGGCGATCCCCATCATCCTCGGATCGAGGAAGTGAGAGCGTCTCCTCATTGCCGACTGGAGGAGGAATATCTTCCTCCTTTTCAGCCTCATCATTCTTCCCCTCTAGCACCTTGGAATCGGGACTCAATGTCTTCTGAATTAGCTTGGCTAGCTCAGGGGACTCTGCTGATGGCTTGGATGGCTTTGTTACAGGCAGAGGAGGTGGTGCCTTCTTTGGAGAAGGAGGATGTGGAGGCGAAGAGGGTCTGACCTCTGACACTTTCTCTTCCTCCTTGGCAACCGTTGCAGTTGGTTTCTCTTGAGGTTCTGTGACTTCCATCGTTTCTTCCTCGTCCTCCTGATCACTAACTTCTCCTTCTTCCTTCTCTTCATCTTCCTTTTCTTCCCTGATCGGGGACAAAGGCCGAGTGTCTTCCTTTGGTTTCAGCTCTGCCTCTTCAGAACTGCTTACAGAAGGCCTGAGGGTTTCACAAAGAATATACACATTATTATCAATTGTTTGTTTCTAGTTTGATGTTGCATTGAGTAATATTTTGACTAGATGAGAGAATGAGGAAGTGACTTTAGTTTTACACCGCTTTTAGCAATATTCTATCAATATCATGTCGGGGGGACGCCATAAATGGGTTTAACATATTGTACAAATGTGGGAAGATTGAGATCGATTATATTGTGATGAAGAAGTTGTACATCCACAGAACTACCTTGTTCATCACAAAAACTTCTAAATGTCACTCAAAAAAGTAAACACAACATTTTCTGTATTGTAATCATGGAAACGCTAATGCACTTCAAACACCACTCTCTTCCCACAGAGGTTACTTGTCATATCTTCCTACGAACCTCTGTTCTAATGCGGCCATATTTCCAGGTTCTCGTAAAATCCCCTAGCAGCAAAATATCGCAACACGAATTATCTCCCTTCTTTCTATCCAATCAGAACATGTTTTACTTCGACTTCGATCCAACTTGACTAATGCAAGCAATATGGGGCCACAAATATCCCTCCTCTGCCGGGGACTTGTGTTGATGTGACACACAAGACATTTAATGGCTAGCTTGTCCGTTGTCAACGAGAGGTGATGGAGTCGCCATTGATCGGCCATTACACGACTTGAGTTCTGTCTAGAAGAAATGTTTGCACATCGCGCAGGGGAAGAGGTTCGATCTAGTTTTCCCCGAAGCATACGGGAATTACCGAGGCCTTGCGAATGATCACTTTTGAAACAACGTCGCTGATTGCACAACTAAATCTGATTGCAACCAATCACGAATCCTGAATACTCGCACCATGAAAGGGCCATAGTAGAAGTTCGTAGGAAGATATGACAAGTAACCTCTGTGGGAAGAGAATGTTGAAACCCATGTATACAAAGATTGAGCAGGGGGAGCAACTCTGCATGATCAATTGCTGTGCTTTATTTATAATGTTTTAATGACGCAAAAAAGTTTTACTTATGTAATTCACATATCAAATGTACTGTCAGTTATAATTAGATACTGCCTGAAATGTCTTCAATACACTGGAACTGTTAAGATTAGAAAATCAATTTAGTTATTTATGTCCAATACAAACAAACTTACTTGTCTTTCCTGAGGAGGTCAATATCTGACTCTGTCTCAATATCAACCTCCTCTTCATCACTTTCACTCTCCTCTTCCTCATCGTCTTCACTGTCTTCATCTTCCTCCTCATCGCTGTCGTCCTCCTCACTGCTCTCCCCACTTTCTTCTTCATCTTCGTCTTCATCTGAAATAGTCATGAGACGATCAAATCCTTTCTTTAAAATGACACAACTATTTTATGTAAATGAGTGAGTGAGTTTAGTTTTAAGCTACTTTTAGGAACATTCCAGGAATATTATGGCGGGGACACCAGAAATTGGTGTCACACATTGTACCCATGTCGGGGAATCGAACCCAAGTCTTCGGCATGTTGATCAAACACTTTAACCACTATCCCCCCACCAAAGGTCAGTACAGGTATGTATAGTTAAACATGTGCACATCATACATGCATGTATACGTATAGCACTAAAATTAGTATGGTCACACACAATGTCAGTGTCATCGGCGTGAAGAGTAAACAGTTTAACCACAAGGCTACCTCACAGTCCCTATTTCTTGTAAACATCTCCAAAGAAAATGTATCGAATTCCTAGTGTTTCTATGTACATTGAGCCATAACATATTTTTGGCATAACTTACAACACAGGCGACACAGAACCATACTGACGATCATTTAGCACTATTCATAGTTATCTCCCCTAGCCAAGTCAGAATGGTTTGAGAATGAATGAATGAATGAATGAATGAATGAATGAATGAATGAATGAATGAATGAATGGTTAAGTTAATTTACCTCCAGATTGAGTCTTGTCTGCCTCCTCATCTGATTCTTCCTCACTCTCACTGACCACTGGTTTCCTCGACAAACGAGTTGGAGACCGACTTGCCTCTCCATCTAGATACATATCATACTTCCTTTACTACAGCGTACCAACATAAAATAACTCACAGGTTTTTGTTCTTGACACCAATCAGGAAAATATGGCGACAACAATACCAGGACTCATTCAAGTAACAACACATGAAAGGGAGATAATCCAGTGAGGAAAAAGTTATCTCCCCTTAAACATTAACCAATAAAAGTTGGCATGAGATGAGTTTACTTGAAAAAACACACGAACAACAGAAGGTAAAATTGATTGCAAATGTTCAAGTTGACCTTTACATAACTGACACGACTAACTTCACAACAAAGCACAGCCTGTTTATCGATGACATGTTACCTGACCACGCCTCTTCCTCTTCATGTTTTGAGGTATGGCCTTCTTCTGGTGGAGGAGATGGAGGACGGAACTTTTTCTGCAGAGATAGAATCATATTTTACATTACAAGTTGTTCATTGGTCAAGAGGGTACATCAACTCATGGGCCCCCGAGGGACCAGTGAACAACGTATTTATCTTACCGAACACCTTTATGTTAATTTTGAATTGTTTCAAGCACGGGTACAAATCTTTTTGTAGCCATTGCTAGATTTTTGCTGACAAGAAAACAGATTAGAGTTATCTCCCTTTCCATCGATTTGCATTCGCAAAACATCGGTAATTTCCGTACATCATATGTGATTCAATGTTATTTGAGATAAAGAATTACTACCACGAAGTACCAAATGAGTTGCCACTGACAGCGGGGTACATTGAAATGTTACTCGCTTGTAAGCAGGGTACACTGAAAATAATAGAAGAGCGCTCAGCCAATCAGAATGCGACATTTATGTGTGAGGTAAGATAAATCACGAAGCATCTGTCTCTTTGTGTCTCAAGAATTCATTTTGGAAGTCCTAGGGAAAAAACAACACATGTTCTGGCTGATCACAATAACTGGGAAATGTCCACAAGTGGCATATGTGATTTAAAATAATGTCAAATCCAGAACACTGCACGTTCACTTAAGCCATGTACTGTCTTGCCAATATAATGAAAGGTGATCAGTTTGTTTGAAACTAAAAGGATCAACTGAAAAATATAAAAAGGACACTCTGAAGTTTATGTAAATGTAACATGCAGGTTATATAAATGAACTAGTTTCAATGGTCCAAAAAGATTCACTTTCTGTGCTTACATGGTGAGGTGAAATTGGGTTTAACATTGTGCTTGAGAATATTACGCTCATATGACGACGTGCATGTGTGTGTATGTGTATGTGCGGCTGCTTGTACTAGCCCAGACTTAAGCTGATTTTATAGTGCTAGCCCACTGAGATACCATGCCGCAGTGAAGCATGAATACCCCACTCAGACACATTATACTGACTCCGAGCCGACCAGTCCTTGTTGTACCCATTAATGCCGAGGGCCAGGCAGGGACCAACAAGTACCATATTTTAATGTCTTTTGGTATGACGCGGTCTGGGATCGAACCCGCGACCTTCCGCTCTCCAGGCAGACGCTCTAACCACTACACCACGGAGGCGGTCCTGTGCTTACAAAACTGCAATAGTACATGATAATGCAGTGATGTTATAGCATTACATTTAATGCAGTAGTATTAAAACAAAGCATTAAAGCCTTCTGGAACCTCTACTTCTGACTTTTTCAACTTCTCAGTGAAACACAAGCCCCCTCTAAAAAGTCCTAACATCTGCTATCAATTATCATCAGCTAAAGGTACAACAACATGAAAGTTTTAATTCTAATATTGGAGTTTGCACTAATATGATCAGCAGATCCAGTTAGTCAGTGAGTGAGTGAGTTTGGTTTTAAGTCGCATTTGGCAGTATTCCAACATCATCACAGCGAGGGACACCAGAAATGGGTTTCACACACTGTGCCCATGTGCGGAATCGAACCCAGGTTTTCAGCATGTTAATCGAACGCTTTTAACCAGTATCCCCCCCACCCAAGAACTTGGGTGTTCAGCATGATGAGTGAACTCCTTAACCACAAGGCTACACCACCATCCCGGACATATCCAGACACTGACCAGATACAAGCAATATCAGGCCTCTCCAGTTTTGTGCAAAACTAATTCCTGTGGCAAGCAGAAAGAAATACTGACCTTGAATGATGGCATCTTGGGCATTCCTCCTCGAATACCCAGAAGCCCTCCGCTACGAAGCTGCGATTGAAACCACCAAAACCACTATCCAAACCTCCGTCTCGAGACCAAGACGGTTTGGACTCAAACAGTGAGGCGATCGTTGAACTCATAGCATTCTGATTTGTTGTAGGTGCTGGAGTTGGTGTTGGCTTAACTGTCTTTTCAACGCTTGGTAAAGATTTTGTCGGCTGGAAAAGAAAATATGGATTTGAGTGAATTGCACTAACCTCCACTTTAACTAACTGAAAACATCAGACAACTAACTGCCTACAGATAATAATAATTGCTTTGTATAGCCCCTATTTCCAGCTATGTGCAGCTGCTCAGTGGTGCTTGACAAGTTACAGTTCAATCACTAGATGAGAAAAGAAATGTTTTGAGTTGATGACAAGTAGATCAAGTAGACAGTGTAATTACATGGGCAGTATTTAAAATAGTTCATACCAGGTGACCTCATAAGGGTTCGACATTAATATTATTTACTACTAGACCAGTGGACTGGTGGGTCTTACTAGACCTGGGTACCTAATGTCTACTAGACCGTACTGTTGGAAAACAAAACAAGGTTATTTCTGTCATCAGCAGGTTTATAGTGCATACTTGAAAAACAAACTAATTAAACACAAAACCATGTGATGATTGTTGTTGTCTTTTGGCCATTATGAGTGAGTGAGTGAGTGAGTGAGTGAGTGAGTGAGTGAGTGAGTGAGTGAGTGAGTGAGTGAGTGAGTGAGTGAGTGAGTGAGCGAGTGAGCGAGCGAGCGAGCGAGCGAGTTTAGTCTTACGCCGAACTCAGCAATATTCCAGCTATATGGCGGCGGTCTGTAAATATTGGCCATTATGAAAACCGTATATCTTGATTTTAGATGTTTATGAAGAACGTTTATCATTAAAGAGTAGCTTTTAGAGTCTTTTACACTTAGCATAGGCGGATCCAGAGGGGGTTTGCAGGGGTGTGCCTCCCCACTTTTGTTCTGAAAGATTATTAAATGACCATTGAAACAGGTTAAAATGATCTGCACACCCAAAAAGCTGTACCTGCTCCTGAACAGTCTCTATAATACTCATTATGATAGAAAACAAAAATAAACAAGTCTGTGATTTGAAACAGTGTTCATTAAATATCTACACGACCAGGCACCCTAGCCAGATATCATGAACAGTAGACCGGACCAGCAATTTGATAGACAATGCCGTTCAGACGTGCCTTAGTGTAAAAGCTTGCTCATGTTCAGAATGATAATAGAAATTTTTTCCATACTCTGTAAGATTAGAACTTTCAACAATTAACTCTAGAAGTAGAACTGAAATTCCTCACCTTTGTTTTCTCTGTTTCCTTGTCCCACCACGTTTCAAAGGACTTAAACGCTGAGCTGACAACCATCTTTTTACACAAGTCTTTTTGCATCACCTCTTTGAGTTCCTTCACAAAACTATTGAGCACCTTGGCAAACATGGTCTCATCAACCGGCAGCTTGTCGGCACTTTCCATAAAGTCTGAAGTGCCACTCACACCGTTCTGATAACCACAGTAGTTCTGATTGTATGTTGGATTAAACATGTTGTTAGCATGGGGTGGGTAGGAGGCAAAACCAGGCCACTGATTGATGTTAGTCAGCCCCTGACCATACATAGATGCTGTTGGGTTGAATGATGACAATGTGGATGGTGGTTGCATGTAAGATGAGGACGACCCTTGCTGGGCCTGAGTAGAGTTCGTTTGTGGGTTGATTTCAAGCTTCTGTTCGCCACTGCTGATGGAGGACAGAGACATTTTGTCGTCATCATCATCAACCTCCATGTCACTTGTCTCTCCCGCAGGAGAAGCTTGTTTTGGAGGTTCTGTTTTGACTTCTTGCGAAGCTGGGAACTTTCCTTGGGTGTCATTATTCCTGACGTTGTGATTTCCCAACGGCCATGTCTCTTGGTGAGCGCCCGGTTTCGGCCATGATCCTTCTACAGGGGTTTGCTGATGCGAGTGAGGTGTTGACCAAGCGTTATCCCCTGGGGTGTGATGGCTTGGTGTGGCCCATGAGTTTGTGTCTTGTGTTGATGCACCAGGAGTACCAGAGGAAGGATCCCAGCTGCGGTCACTAACTGGAGATAGGTCACTTTTCTTAGTCTTAGCTGGTTCTGGTGGAGGCTCCTCGTCAACAAACCCTGTAAGGAGTTTCTGGATGCGAGAGTCCAGACTCATTGTTCTCGGCTCCTCTTCAGCCTCGGGTGTCTTTGGTCTTACTGGTTTTTCTATTCTTTCCTTTGGTTTCTTTTCCTCTCTGTCCCTACCCTTGCTCCTTCTATCGTGGTCTCTCTCCCTCTCATAATCTCGATCATGGTCTCTCTCATACTCCCTATCATAGTCCCTATGCCGATCTCGATCCCTATCACGCCCTCTATGATGATCCCTATCTCTGTCTCGGTCACGATTCCCGATCGCGGTCTCTATGATCACGGTCCCTGTCTCGTTTCCAGTCTCTGTTTTTATCGCGATCGCGATCACGATCCCTATCTTTTTCCCTCTCCCACTTTTTATCCTCCCCCCTTGGCTTTCCCCAGCCCCTGCTGTTCTTATCGTGGTAATCTGTTGAACTGTGTGAATGGAATGGTTCCTCCTGAATCGGTGGCTGGACTGTATGCAAAGGAGGGGGAGGTCGAGTTGGATCAAAATGAGGGATGCCTGCAAATCCATCCTGAACTGGAGGATGACCTGGAGGAAGACCTGGAGGATGAGCTGGAGGATGAGCTGGTGGATGAGCTGGTGGATGAGCTGGTGGATGAGCTGGAGGATGAGCTGGTGGATGAGCTGGAGGATGATGGTTACCAAATGGAGGCTGAATGCCATAGTTGAAGTCCCCAGTCTGTGGAACATTGAAGTGCTGCATGTCATACTTGTTCCCAGTTGGGAAAGGCGTGTGGTTATAAGCATCACCATAGTTGACTGAAGACGTGCCGGAGCCATAACCAAGGTCTGAATGGCTGGAGAAACTGACATCCGACTTAGGACAAGAATGTCCACCTTCACTGAACAGCAGATGGTCAAAAGATGGTGGAGGTGGGTGTCTTGGAGGGAACTCATTATCACCTGGGTCATATGCTTCATGCTTCTTTGGGAAGTCATTTCGGATGGGCTTATGACCATGACTCATCTGCTTATCCAGACGTTGCTTGGGTTCGGCCAGCATCTCTTCAATGATCCGTGATCGCTCTCGACCTGAAAGGAAACAATAAATGAACAGTGTGTACTAGTCTACACAAGCAACTACTTGAAATTGGGCTCTTCATGTAATTTTTATTTGATTTCAGCAATATAAGGACAAATAATACAGACTGGACAGAAAGTGACAAAAATCAGACCAAAGGCTCAGTGAGTGAGTGAGTTTAGTTTTAAGCTGTTTTTAGCAATATTCCAGCAATATCACAGCGGGGGACACCAGAAATGGGCTTCACACATTGTATCCATGTGGGGAATAGAACCTGGGTTTTCGGAGTGACTAGCGAATGCCTTAACCACAAGGCTACCCAACTGCCCCTACCAAAGGCTAAAGATTATCTACGCAGGGAGGTCAACAACCAGCCCAATAACTGGTGTCATGTCGGATATGCAACCTCTCAAAAAACTAATTGAGGCAACCTTTAAGAAAGAACAGATTTCTTGAAACAAGAAGTACTTTGTCCATTGAATATCAAGTTATCTCCCTTGTGTTTAATAAGTGATGGGTTTAGCAATAACTATGCCCACCTCATATTTTTAACAGTGTTTGTGATCATGGTAAAGGGCAAGTGAAAAAGCTTAATGCCAACTCTCGACTAAATTCAGGACCTGTGTACATATGAGAGTGAGTTTAGTTTTACGACACTTTTAGCAATATTCCGCTGATATCATGGCAGGGGATGTGTGCATATGAACAAAAATCCCATAGGATTGTCTCCCCTGAATCCATTTACTTATCTTATATATTTTTGATAGACTACCAAATAACTATCATTATTTAGATGTGTGCAGGAATACTAAAGTCGCTTCCTTCAAAGTTAAATAATTATTCAAGACACTTGGCTTTCGTCATGACATGTCTGTGCAGAAACTGTCACCCACCCATGGTATCTATGACAACAGTGATGATGTTGCCCATCTGAGATGTCTGGTTCAGCTTCTCGGCACACATGCGAGCTGCTTTGGAAGATGTGAACATGACCTGAAATAGCGAATCACACTGTTCACAAGTATGTTATCAACAGACCTGAAATAGGCAAATGTATTGTTCACATGTAATCACATAACATGGTATTGATGAGTGAGCAGCTCCAACCATCTGTTACAATTGCAATCCAAAGATTTTTATCACAGCAAGAAACCTAAATTCAGCACTCTGAAGTTTCTCATGTTATTGCCAAACCTATTTTGTCCTACCAACAAAAACACATTACATCATTAGTAGTATACATAATGGGGCTACGGGACCAGGTACCCCCTAAGGGCTCAACTTAAAAATTGAGCCCTTGGGAAGTCCCTAATCCCGTAGCCCCATTGTGTATACTACTACTGAGGTGCATGCAACATTTGATGAAAACCAGTCAATTAGTTTCTGAAATATTGACTTTTAAGTGAGCATGGGAAAAAGGCTCAGGTCGCCTCAGGGGTGGTTGCTCCTCAGAGCGCTGTGGGCGGACAAGTCGCAGTGCGTGTGTGTCTCTCGGCTTGGCAAGACTGATAAAAAATCATGACGAGAAACTATCATCACACGGTGGGTGATGAGTAAGGGACTGTGTCGTGAGGTACGATCATCAACTCCTCTCTGACGAATACTCTCGGCGGTCCGTCTTTCAAGTAGTACAAGTTTCGTTCGCTGTCTTTGATGTCGACAAGGTCTACGTTGGACGTTTTCATGGACCATAGCGGTGGCGCGTTTTCTGCTGTCTCCCTCGTATTCTCCCGGGCTGGTACAAGTACCTAACGCTGACCCTGTCCGGTAATGTTATCTCTGTTTTATCGCGACATGCAGCCGCTGGTGATGATTCGACTGATTTCATTTCGATGGCTTCGACGGGTCTTTTGCCCACGAGTCTTGTGACTTAGTTGTTGATGACATCCACCACTCGTGGCAAGCGTACAACCCATTCCGTGTTTCTGTTTCCAGGATCGATTAAATCCTGTGAGTATTGGTGCGAGAATAGGCGTTCGGCTAGGGTGCGATTGAATCTCTCAACGATGGCTTGGCTACGGTGAGCTCCCGCTATACCTCATCTCACCTGGACGTCGTGCTTGGCCAGCAGCTACCACACGGCTCCCATGAACTCGCGTCCGGGATCGACTTGCAATACGGCAGGCCAGGTCAAGCGACTGTATTTGTATATGTGTTCAAAGGCTTTGGTGACTTCGTTCGAATGTTTGGTCGTCAACGGTTCGGCTTCCATGTAGCGACTGGTGACGTCGACGGTCAGGGCGTACTTGTAGGTTTTGCGCCTCACCCTGTCGTGAGGGAGAAACAGGTTGTCGGCATGGTGGACGTGATTCGGCGTTGAAATATCGAATTTTCTTCTCGGGCTGTATCGAGGCGCCGGCAGGTCGACTTGCCAGATGGCTTGTTTTTATAGCCAGGCTTTGGTTTTCTCTTCCGAGACGCGAGCAGCTTTGGTGAGTTTCAGGATGGCGTCCAGTACCCTCGCGTGGTGTGTAATAAATTTTCTCCATGATATATGAACGCATGTGTGAGTAAGCGTTCAATTATTCGATACGCGTGTGGTGACTCCATCGATTGGAGATCCATCGTTTCATGTTCAGTTTACCCATGTTGTTCATGAGTTCTCCCCGCACGTTTTTCAAGGCTTTGTCTAGACCCCGAAGTTCCCTAAGAGGATTTCGAGTACGTGACCAATATTGTTGTTGGCGTGGTGGTGCTACTTCTTCCGGTGTGGGTGCCACAATGCCCGTTTCGTACTGCGACACGTTTCGACTCGCGTTATTGACCTCCTGGTTCAAACCCAACTTTTGATCACCGGTCGCGATGACAATTTCATTGCTGTAGCCCACCACTCTGTTCACCTTCAGTCGCATATCGCACAGAGCCATGTACAGTTTCGCCCCCGAACAAGTAGTCGACTTTCGACCGGGCGTATTCCAGCACGTTTTGATAGCGTTCGATGGTACTCAGTTTCGACCAGTCTAGCAATGACATCCTGTTTCTGTGCGTTTCATCCTGTTTCCTGACTGTTTCTGCGCATCATAAGCCATCTCTCACGACCCACGATGCCTGAGCGTGTTTGCGCCTGAGCGCCCGTTCGAATCGAATCGTTCAATCTGATGACTCTGGCACGAGTAAACCCTTTCGAAGTGTCCAGCATGAGTATTTTCCAATCGTCCACGGGTCCCTGCTCAAACCTCCAAACACTGTAATCCTTGTTGTCGTTGAAAGCCATGTAATCGTCGTTCCACCCGGTCGTCGCACACCACACGACGAAATTGAAATGATTCTGCCAGAACTGCATCGGGTTGTTAAACCAAGCATCGGGTTATTAAAACCCGTAATTTGTAAACATGTCGATGAACCGAATTATGAATTGTATACCATCCTTTGCATCGACCACAATACTCAGTTGAGTGAGATCAGTAGCACTTATATTATCACTTTTAGAATAAATATGTACAAAAACGACTTGAGACTCAGTCAGCCGTTGGCTAAAACGCTCGGGTTTACATCGAACAACATACAACTGGAAACCACCAGGAACGGGCACGAAATTACCTGACCTCGTTCCGTATCGCGAACTGTGCATTCATCTCGATCAGCTGAGCGCGAACGACCTTCCACACTGCTGAGATCCGTGCCGGTGAAAAAAGTACAACGACGGCAAAACCGAATCGTTTTTGTCGCGGTAGTCAAGAAATTAATCCGAGTCAACATCACGGATTGAAAATATCGGTTTTAGACATTAAACACGATCCCGTAAGTATAGGGTATCTCAGCGCGACGCTGCACATACGACAATGACAGAGTCTCAAGGTCCAGGAACACGTGTTAGAAAATGCGCCAACATAGCGAACTACGACCTCGGGGGACACACTCGAATTCGACGAACCTGGAGTCGACGGCAAACTGTACACCTTGCAACTAAAAAACAACATTTACAAATGTGTCGAACTGCCACCCTCTACTGCCGCTTGTGGTGGTAAGAACAACGACCTAGGCGTTTTCGTCAATACCGAAGGAGCGGTCAACAACACGCGATACGACCTGATCCGCAGCGACGAGGACGAATGGACGATAACCCCAGCGTTCCGCGGCAGGCTGTTCCACCTGGACGACTTCCGAGACCACAGCAGTCTCCAGAAACATGCAGTTCACTCTCATCTTCAACAATGATAACAAATTGGTATTAGTGCCATCCCAAATCGACTGGAATCTCAACATCACTCAAGATCACTACCTGACAAAAGTCGTGAACAACGGAGCGCTTCTCGTGGCTTACGTCCCTACGCAAAGACGCAGCGTGATCGTCGGCACGGTGAGGCAAAGAGTAGCCCACATGCTGTCGAGCAAACCTGGGACGCAAAACGTGGGATTGCAGATGGTGTCGGAATTCAACAGCGTGGTAGACGTCCTGGAAAATCTGCCACTGAAATCCACACTGTACATCCAAGTCTACCCAAGCGAACAGCAATCGGCGCTTGACGTCGTCGAAATTGTTAAAGGGATCAAACTCCGCTGGGCCAAACAACAACAATACCAAGTTTACGTGCAGGTGAACGTTAACGCCTACACCAGTCTGCAGGGAGTCACCGTGACCGTGGAAGACACGATATCACTCACAAAAATGTTCCTACTAGGCAACATACATCTCATGGGTTTAAAGTGCACGTCCAAGGAATTATCCGATAACCAATTAAAAACCATTTTGTAATTTTGTATAAAACAACCGATGAACAACCATCATCCCAACGTAACGCTAGCCATTCTCGGGGACACGCTGGGATTCGATCTGTCCGGCGAGGAAACACCTTGTACGTCCTGCACTTAAAAGACAACATATATAAGCGGGTGTCACTAGCAGACTTCAAACAGCCAGACTGGTTGATCAACATGACCATCACCTCACCCCACATACCTTTAAAACAATGGTTACATCTCCAAAATTACGAAAACGGGATCCTTCTTGCGTCTTTCACTCCAACGGTGTCGTATCGTCCGGGATCAACACCCTTAATAAGCCTCGATAGAAAAAATTTTGATTCATGTCTCGAATATTTACGTGTACGATAATCTAAACCTTATCAGCCTCAAATACATCGATCGGATATTAAAAGAAAACAAATTAAATATTATTTTATAAACAATATATATATACACACACAGGATGGGACTGTACCCAGTCCTGGATGAAGTATTAAAAACACTGGAAACCGTAGACAGGTTTTGTTTGCAACAGATATGCGAGATCAAACAACAACTAGAACGTGAACGCGATACGCGGTCGACATTACAGAAAAAATATCACAGGGCCATCAATTCCGTGGACGGTGTTGACAACGCTCTGGTTTCAGTCAGCATGGGATTAGGCCTAGCAAGTATCGGGTTATTATTCACCATCGTGGCCGCACCTGTGATGCTAGACATCGGAATAACAGCCAGAGTGGCAGGGTTGATGGGATTGACCCTTAAGTTCATATCTCGCAGACTGCAACGTAAAGCATTGAAACACGACGAAATTGGCATTCTAGTCGAAGTGAAGTTAAACATGATAGACGATCATATTTCCACCGAGCTCACCGACTCTAAAATCTCTGAAGAAGTCTCGTTTGGTGCTATCAGAAATCGCAAAACATCACAGAATGAAACAAGAGATTTGGACCAAGTCTCGTAAAACGCCGTCATTTGAAAAGACAAGAAAAAAATTCATAGAACAAGGGAGGCAACAGGCCCAACAAGCCTTCATTATGAAAACCAAACAAATCATAGGAGATTCACAATAAACTGTTTCGCAGACATCAACATAACGTAGCCAGCTGGCCAGCCAACTCAGTGAGCTGTAAGTAAATAGCCGAGCAGAGACACACACACTGTGACTCGCCAACAGCGCTCGCTCAATGCTACCGAGACGGCAGCGAGTCGACCCGGGGGAACTGCCGAGAGATGCGGTATGATTTAGTGGAAATCAACATAATGTTGCCAGCCAGCCAGTCGGCTGTACAAGCCGAGTCGAGCCACACACTGCAACTCGCCCAAAGCGCTCGCTCGGTGATACCGAGACGACAACCCGGGAGGAACTGCCGAGAGATGCGTTTCATTCACTTTCAGACATCTGTAGCCTCACTAGTCAGCCGGTCATGCATCATCTTTATAGCCGAGCCGAGAGACACACACACTCGCTCAAAGCAACCCCCGAGACGGTAGCGAGGTGATGACTTCTGAGATCTGCGTTTCATTTAGCTAAAAACACCTCTCGCCTTGATAATATATAACAAGTACGACAATCGTTGGATTGTTAGCCTTTCGCCAGACCGACCCCATGCTCACTAAAAAGTGATTATTTCCTAAACTATTTGACCGATTTTCGTGAAATTGTGCATGCATCTCGGCAGATGGTTACGATATAGCAAAACGGCATTGGGAACACTCTCAATGACTTCATTAGATTAATTACGACTTAATTACGACAAAAAGTCGTTTTGCATGAACCTCAGTAGTAGTATACACAATGGGGCTCAGGGATTAGGGACTCCTCAAGGGCTCAATTTTTAAAAGAGTCCGGGAAACCTGGTCCCGTAGCCCTATTGTGTATACTACTACATTAGAAATAAAAACATCATCTGTGTTAAACATTATCAAACTAATTAAGTCTATCAACAATCTACGACCCTCCATATTAGGTCCATGCTACCTAAAACCCTTTTTGAGCCTTAAGGGACCGTTCATAATTTATGGCTAGGGGCGACGATGATTTTTATGGAGAAGCATGTACAATGTGAATGACCCCCTAAACTTTATGTACAAAAATACCCCCATGTCATGTACAAAACCAATTACCTCCCTCCCCTTCCCATAATTTCTAAGCATATTTTTATGTACAAAGTTGCTGACCCCCCTAGTATGTGTGTACAAAATTGCTGACCCCCGCAGCTCCCAAGAACAAAATGGGTGATGCCCCCTTAAAATCATCACACACACCCACACACAAACACACACCCCAACCCCCATAAATTATGAACGGTCCCTACATAACAAGTTTCTATGGGGGTACATCACCTTGCCAATGCCCATGTGCTTCTTCGTCTTGGGATGGTAGTAGATTTTGCATTCTTCAATCTTCCCAAATGTTTTGCACATGTTTTCCAGAAAGTCCTTGTTGATGTTGTCATTAAGATTTCTGAAAGTGATTTCCTTAGCAGGCGGTGTTCCAACATAGTAGCAGTCATACTGAAAAAAGAGTTTTAAAAAATCTTGTTATGTGAGTGAGTTAAGTAAAATGCTGTTTTGGACATTATTCCATTTTAATCATGGCATTTCAGCTTGGCAAGAACCAGTGAAGATGCAGATCAGAACTGGTCTTCAGCAACCCATGCTTCTCGTAAAAGGTGACTGACGGGATCGAGTGGTCAGTCTCACTGATTTGGTTGACACGTCACCATATCCAAATTGTGCAGATTGATGCTCATGCTGTTGATCACTGGACTGTTTGGTCCTGACTCGATTACTTACAGACCGCTGGAGTATTGCTGAGTGGGGTATTAAATAGGGCTGCAATGAATACACTATGTGACTGATGCGTATCATGAATATTGAATAACGAATACGAATAATTATTCATGAATTCAATATTGTAGTTAAGTGATTGATGTACAGTATGGAACAGACATGTTGACAGTGTTAATTTGTTACAGCAATAACCAGTGATCTCATGACACCCAAATTTGGAATGTAATAGTTATAATCGACAGTACCATGTGCAGTCTTGGCAAACTAACATGACTTGCACTACTGCAATGCTCTTACATGTTCCATTCTTGCATATCTCACTTTGGAAAGGACAAAAGGGTTCAAGTAAAACATGCTCCCTTAAAAAAAAATCGTAAATATTCGTTAATATTCGGTTCTGGTGACCACGAATAACGAATTGAATTCATGAAGGGCTACGGTTCGATTCACCGAATATGCGAGTGAATCGTTACAGCCTTAGTACTAAACAACAAACAAACCAAACAGCTTGATAAGGCAGTAAAGCCAAAGTGAAGGAGGTCTCAGACCATTTCCACTTCAGTGAAGCCAACGAGCATGGGTATGATGCTGACAGATCCAGAAGTCTTAATCAGTGGGAACCGGGATTTGAACCCAAGACTATAGTTTCTGGCCTGACCAAGGGAAACAACTCTGCACAGTGAATTGCAGTACAGCTTGTTCAGCTTGACCCGATCAAGTGAATACTAATGCATTACGTTACCGTGTCACAACTGGTTGGGTCTATTATTGTGAAGTGGTGCATCTTTGTCAGTTGATTGTCAACATGTCCGAACAGCCGACACAAAGTCGCCTTTTGACATCTCAGTGTCGAGAAATCGCTAGCAATGTCCTAACTTTCTTTAAACTTAAAAAATAAGCTACAGATGGTTTAATGTTCCCGATACAGGCTTTTAGGCAGCGAGCAGCAACATCAATAACATTCTCTGCTCCCCTATTTAATGAAGTTAACTTGACCTGCTGTTTGTGCCATTTGACCCCCGAGTAGCTCAGGTCAAGCTGAACAAGCTGTACCTCAGATGACTTGGCCAACAGTGCCCCAAATGTTTTATGAGTTTAGCACAAAATATTACCCCTCCTAAAAAGTGGCTTCAGATATCATGAATCATCTCCAGAGAAGTAGTTAGTACCTTAAACCTAGGAACTGGCAAGTCGGCCACTTCCTTCCTACTCCAAATCCTCTGGAAACGGGATCGCGGATCACGGGGCTCAATCTGGCGATTTTCCTGAAATAGCAAATAGATCTTCATTAGAAATGAAATTGAAAACATTTTGCTCTTACATATGACAAGAGCAAACAATTTGTAAATGGGAATAATCTTCAAAAGATGTCAATCTGAATTTTAGGAATGAAACAGAATCAGCCAACTAAAAAATGGGATGTAGATAAATACATGTGGTTCTTCAAATAGCATTCTATCAAACAAAGATCATGAACATAAACCTATGAGTTATACATAAAGGATGTGCAAAAAACACACTTAGAATGAACAGTGTAATGGGAAGATAACAGGTTTTGGAGAATTCATTGATTGGAGGAACGGGATTCTTAACCAAATCTTTCAAAGTGAAACATTGCATCATTGATGTTGCATCATCCACTTTAGAGTGAAGGACAAGATGGAGAACTTTTGTTATACACATATTTTCAAAATATACAAATCAAGCATGACTACAGATAAGGAAGGAAAACAACAAACCTTTTTCATCACAAATATAACTTTTACCAACATGAAACAGTTATTATTATGTCAAAATGTTAAAAACATCCTATTCTTTTGTATTACCGAAGCTAATTTTGATCATATTAGGACCGTGTCTTACCAGCAGCGTTCACAACGTGTTGAAATTTTGAACATCTTGAAATCACATTGGACACAGGTAAATTTAAACAAGTCTCATGCTGCAACTGAGTGGTAATTAGGGTTTCAAATGGTTCAGTTTCTAAGACACTGACTGACTGAAATGTAAAATGTCATAAACGTCTTCTCAAAATGTAGAAATGACATAACCATAATTATGAAACTGTCAAAACAATCAAAAACATTATTTTTGTGTGAGGCAAAAGCACTTAATATCATGGTAACATCATTATGATTGACAAAAAGCACAGAAAGAGGAAAATTATTACATAGTAACAAAATTAATTACAAATGCCCCAAATTGCCTGAAAAAGTAATGAAGTGAAGAACACTTATGATCATAAGCATTGACACTTACTTTAAGTTTTATACAAGGACATGCCTTGAGGCCTATTATGGACAAGTAGTTACCAAAATATCAGAAGAGATTCTATATACATTGAATTCTTATTCTTGAAAGCCTAGTTCAGACAAATGATACAGATCCTTGTGATTATTGCACAATAAGAAAGCCTAATAATGGTACCATCAAAATCTCATAAACATAATAACATGCTAGTAATAATTTTCTATTGTGGTAAGTGGGACAACTTTCTACAGATCATAGGAGGCAGACTACATGAACATGACAGAATACTTTTATGCACGATAACTACTACTCAGATCTCTGATGCTGTCAACAGAAAACTTAATTGTCAATGCATTAACAGAAGTTGTTGATCTGGTATACCTGTGACCTTATTAAAACTTTCAGCCAAATAAGACAGTTTGATACTCAGAATAAATACATGACAGATATGTCAGGTCAAAGTAATGAGGATGAATATCTGAAAATTTGGAGAGATCAACGATCAAACCTCTCTAAATATTAGTTGGACTGAACTCAGTGCCGACACTACTGGTTTTAACAACCATGGCATGATGCACAAAAACATCATCGCCCCACAGGCCGAAAAAACATCTTGATTTGCTGATCGTAAGTTCTAAATCTGCAGTCTTGTTGCTAGAGATGAGGGTTCCATCAGACATTCTCACCCCAGGAATCACGCCATCAATTCTGTAGGCTTTCTGTTGCTGACCTCGATGGAGAAAGGGGTCAACAACAAGTTTATAGTTTCTTTTCTTCTTGTCTAATTGATCAACTGGAAGCCCTCTCTGCAAGCCATTGAGGTCTGAAATGAGAAATAGTTGCATTCATTGAGAAGATGCTGACATAACTCTATGAAATCGAACGCGATAAATACGAGACCGGCTTCTGTTCGTTTTCTTCATACACCAAATAGTGTTTTCTCTCACATGGATCTGGCTGTCTTCTGTCATGTTCCATTGTGTCCAGCGCCAATCTAAGAAGATTGGAATAAAAAGTACGGTGGAAGATACACTTGCATACAATTGTCGATCATTATATGTTACTAACTACTCGTCTGGACAGATTGGAGCCAAAATATATCAATGACTAAACAACAACACATCCCTCTGTGTTGTATCAAAATTCCCTGCTATCCCACAATTCAACAGGCGGATGTAGCGGAAACCAAAAAAACGATAGTTTCGTTTTATTTATTTGCTGTTATCCATGCAGATTATACGTCATGTGTCCCAAATACAAGAATATAACTATCACTGTAATTTAGAAATATAAAATAATTGTATTAGGATTAGTATCAATCGAAATACGAAACTAATCTTACTTTTGACCATATGTTTCCTTGTTAAATGATCAACCATTTGTTACAGTTTTGCGGGAACCAGCCAATCAGGTTCATTGTTACATCCCCGTGTTGGACGCACGTGCTAGTTTTTCATAGAGATGGATAAGAAGGCAAAATTGTTCACGAAACGTTTTGCCGAAAGATTGGCAAAAGGTAATGAATCAGTCGTAACCTTACACGAGAGCAGTTCAGATTGCTCTGTTATTTTCCAGCATTGTAGTATCTTTGCAACTGAATGTACAACTCATCTTCAACGAGAGAGCCTGTCAGTATTTCGTATTTCGTCTTCACTGGTAGACTGGATCTGTGAAAACGTCTAGCACTGTTGGCAGACTAGTAGGAGAAATCGACGACGAGCCCCATATCAGATCTCAGACATGACATCGGTCACATTAAACTGGTGCGCCATGTTACAACTGAACGGCGTCAAACCAAAAATCTCACTTAGACCCATCACTTTCAGTTTCACAACTTTAAGAACAGAGACCAGTATGTCTGGTTAATAACTTTAAACAGGAAAACACAAACAAACTGCTTAAAGATAACTGGTAAAATAGTACCATGAAAAGAGCATATGTGCGATTAGCTGTTTGTGTATATATGTCTTCAGTTTTTGAACAAAGAATTATTAAATGATAAATTTTGCATTATTAATATACTGACATCAGAAAGAAAGTACCTTAATGATGCAAATCAAATCCTTGTTGGAACTACCCGTCAAGATCTGAGTTATAATTAGTTAATTCGTCAGTAACCCATGCTTGGCATAAGAGTTAACTAACAGGATCGGGTGGTCAGGCTCACTGACTTGGTTTACACATGTCATCATATCCCAATTGCGTAGATGGATGCTCATGCAGTTGATCACTGGATTGTCTGGTCCAGACAGATCGATAATTTGCAGGTTGCCAACATATAGCTGGAATATTGCTGAATGCAGCGTAAAATTATACTCGCTAACCTGTTTTCGTATCTGTATTTTTATGTTGTACGTAATAAATTTTAAGTAATTTGACAATACACTTCTTGATTTTCTTTAGGACACAGGTTTAAGTAAATGTAAAGGTGTTACAATTTCTTGCTCCGAGTTCATAGTTTCATTAGGTTTCAGCTTTTTGATCAGTAACATCTTTATTCAAATTTAAGATGAATAAATCAGATTTTTTTAAGTTGTCTGAAAAGTTAAAGTATGTTAATGAATTGAAAATGATAATCATCCTTTCGCCATTCATAATAATGAATTTCTTTTTCAGGAAAGCCGAAGAACATCAAGAAAAAGTCTCTTCTTCTGAAGAGTATACACAATGTTTCAAAAGAATCCTTGAAAAGAGAACTAAATGATAACTTTGATTTGTATCTGAAATACTTGAACAAGTAAGTACTCACAAAATAAACCAAAGTCAAATGCAATTGTTTAAATATGTATATAAAGTAAAATTGTAGTGTAATTATCTTGTGTTTTTTCTGTATTGTTAAAACCTGTGATGGTCCAGGTTACAATGAGCCTTCAGTAACCCATGCTTGACGCAAGAGGAGACTAACGGGATCGGGTGGTCAAGCTCGACGACTTGGTTGACACATGTCATCGGTTCCCAATTGTGCAGATTGATGCTTCTGCTGTTGATCACTGGATTGTCTGGTCCAGACTCGATTATTTACAGACCGCCGCCATATAGCTGGAATATTGCTGAGTGCTGTGTAAAACTATATTCACTCACTCACTCACTGTATTGTTAAAATATTTATGATGTATGATGCTCCCTAATTTTGATAAATTTCCGAGGTGTAATCTGAGTATGGTGAGACAGCAGTTGATTATGAAGAAAACATAATGATGGTAATAAACTAATGTTTGCTTTTAAGAATCAATTGCTATGTGTCTTGATGTTCCCGTCTCCTAAACATTTTATCCTAAATATGTTCACAATTTGATTTATTATTTTTCTGAATTTTTAGGTTTTTAGGTTAAAATTGTATAATGAAATGCTGTATATTTGGTTTTAATATACAAAATCATTTTTAATACTGATTTACTTGTTTCTATTTTTCTGTATGACCTTGCAGATGTTTGAAAAGATTGACTGTGGAAACACCAACTGGTGACAGTGACTTCAAGCTGATTCAGACATGGGAAGACTGTCAGAATGTTGTTAGTCTTACCAAGCAGGCATCCAGGCAACTGTGTAACTATTTTACACGTTATTTCGTTCCACACATTGTTTTATGAACCCAGATAGATTGGGGGGGAAGAATATAGGCCTCAGACGATGTATACTTGTCATAAGATGCGACTAAATGGATGGGGCTGTCATGCTTGCTTCTCAGTTGCAAAGGTCATGAACATGATGTCAGTCACTGGATTATCAAGTCCAGACTCCTTAAATTACAGACTGACGTCATATAGCAGGAAGTTTGCTGATTCATTACATAATGTACATTGTCTGTCAGATCTAACAATGCTAGTCCATCTTCCAGTTTCTATGGGTAATCTATGGTTAACTGTTCTAAAGCGTGTGTACCATATTCTAAGATTTAGAGGTAGTTCCAGAAGATAAGAATTTAGATGAGGTAATTATTTATAAAGATTGTAATATTTACCTTTTGGGGTAGCAATTACTGTTGCATTCCATGATTGATAAAACTGATCAATAAGAATCCTTTTAACATTAGTTTATAAAGCACTAGGAGAAACAATATACTGTGACATCCACACATGATATAAGCCAGTATACTGTAGGATATTTTCCATTGCCATAAGTAGGCTAAAGTATTTTCATATCCCCTTGAATAGTCACCCTTAGTACATATATATGTTGATGCAATATGTCTTAATTTAAAAATGATAATTCATTACATGAATTAATAAAACTATAGTTAATACCTAATCATTTTATCCATCTCACATATTTTAATGCTCTTTGAGTCTCTTATAGCCTTCTGGCTACTTGTGCTCTATGCATTTATGCATACATTATTTGAATGTACTAGATAGGGCTGCGCAATATAACCGATTTACCGGTTGAGACATGAAAACGATACGTATTGCGATACGCTGATCGAAAACCGGTATTTTGACATGCATTCGGAAAACTTCGTAACACTCGGAAATCTTCGGATATTTCCGTTTTTTTAATTGTTCTTTTCCCTGTTTCATTAGTGCCAAATGTTACTTACATTTTTATTTTATCATGATTAAAAGTTTTTATAAAAGGTTAATCAATCATAGTGATTTTGTTGTGTTTTTGCTTTATAATCAAGCATTAACTTGATTATAAGTAGTTTTTGTTAATAACATAATCCTTGCAATATATTGCAATACATATCGCAATATATGCTTCCGCATCGCAATATATCGCAATATGAAAATTCTCTGCAATACCCACCCCTAGTACAAGATGAGACTACTACAAACAACTACTACTACCTAATGTTGTCTTATTTTTTCTTATCCTGAGTCATGATCTTTGCTTATCTCCCTTTCCCTTGTGAATGGTAGTGGAACACTTGAATCTCTTGAAGTTCCGGATAAGTATTAAATATCAATTTTACTTGAAAAATTACATTTTTTACCTGGGCACATGCCATTATTATCAAGGGTACAGCTTAATTCAGCCTTATGCAACCAACCATAAGATGTGTTGTTTTAAGCGATCTGTCTTTTGGTAGGTCTGTCTTATGGGAAGATACCGTCCTGCTGTATATTTCTAGAAGGGGATGCTTCTTAGGGAAGGGGTGGGTGTGTGAACTGGTGAAGGAGAGGGTGCCTTTCTGTATATTTTTAGAAGAGAATGCCTCTTAGGGTGGGGGGGGGGTTGTGAACTGGGGAAGGAGAGGGTGGCCTTCCAGGGCTCGATTTAGTGCTTTTGTTACTTGCACTGGTGTAACCCAATATTACAAAGTACAACCTAGGTATTAGTAACTTTTTGAGTGGGTAAACTTCTGAATAAAACATCTAAATAATTCAATATCATATTTCTGTCATTACATATTGCAATAAAACAGTGTAACTGAATTTGGCTGGTGCAACTAGGTTCTTATCTTAGGTTGCACCTGGTGCAAGTAGGTTAGCATCTCTTAAATCGAGCCCTGCCTTCTGTATATTTCTAGAAGGAGATGCTTCTTAGGGAGGGGGGTTATGAACTGGGGAGGGAGAAGCAGTGCCCTGTTGTATATTTCTAGAAAGGGATGTTTCTTGCGGAGGGGGGTTGTGAACTGGCAAAGGAAAAGGTGGCCTTCTGTATATTTCTGAAAGGGGATGCTTCTTAGCTTCTTAGGGAGGGGTTGCTAAATGAGTCGAATACGGTATGTGCTCAGTAATTTCTGATTGTTGTAAGGGGCATTGAGTGTTGCTGACAATGTCAGTCATTGTCGTTTGTTGTGTTGCTGGAATATTGCAACTTATCTTGCCTCACACATAAATGTTGTTTTCTGATTGGCGGAGCGCTCTTCTATTATTTTCAATATACCCCGCTTAACAAGTGAGTAACATTTTCTATGTACCCTGCTGGGAATGCCGAACTCATTTGGTACTTCGTAGTAGTCATTCTTTATCTCGAAGAACATTGAATCAATGCGTATGATGTACGGAAATTACCGATGTTTTGCGAATGCAAATCGATGGAATGAGATTACTCTAAATTTGTTTTTCTTGTCGTCTTGTCGTCTGGTACTCCTTGCTATGATCCAATACCCATGCTTCAAACAGTTCAAAATTACCATTGAGGTGTTCGGTAAGATAAATACTTTGTTCATTGGTCCCTCGGGGCCCATGGGTTGATGTACCCTCGATGTTTGTTTATGTTCCCCTTGCCCTTCTTGCTCAGGGAACATAAACATCATGGTACATCAGCCCATGTCCCCCTAGAGACCAGTGAACAGCTTATACTGTGACATTAAACAACAGACAAATGCAGCGCAAGAGATCATGTGTTTGTTTTCTTATCCTTGTGTATGACATCGTCTTTTGTCTCAAATACCATGATATTCACTGACATTCTGTGATCAGGTACACAAGTGACTCTGAAAGAACTTGAAAGTGAAAGGACAGATTTTGTAAATATTTTACAGAAGTATGAGGTAAGTGTTTTTATTTTTCCGTAATATTCATTTTACTTGCATAGACATTCAAATTGATATGAATCCTTAACTTGGCTTAAGGCCATATGACCAATACCATTTCAAATGACAAGTCTGGAAAAAATTGAGAGGCTAAGGGATCTGTTTTAACCAACATTAAAAAAGCCTAATATTATAGAAAACTGTCAATATCATGAAAAATTTGTCAGGTTGATTGTGAATAACCCAAGTTTGGTTATAACTATTACTGTTTTTTAATCATTCATGTGTAACCATGGTTACAAGTTGAATTGATCTTTATCTCCTCTTCTCAATCAGGACAAATGTGACATCGTGTCAAAGGAGATGGTACCAGCCTGGATGGCAGCCACCAAGCACCTGCTAGCATCAACCCGGAACTCGAAGGTCATCAACAAACTCATGCTGTACTATCTCAGGTACTTGCAGACTAATTATTGTCCGTGGTACGATGGTTAAATGTTAGTAATCCTTTTTCTATGGAATGCTGCCAGCGAAAACATGTCACTGTACAATTGCAGTAATCTTGAACCCATCTAAAACCCATTTGACCTTACTAAGTATGGAGATAGTTCTATCTGCACTATTCAATGTCCTGATACTGTTAAATATACTGAGGGAATAAATATACTGAGGGAAAGAAGTAAGGGAACACATGAAAGGACAAGTGTTCCATCTGATATGGATTCTTGTGCAAGGTCTCTCTCTCTCTCTCTCCCTCCCACCTCTCTCCTCCCTCTCTCTCTCTCTCTCTCTCTCTCTCTCTCTCTCTCTCTCTCTCTCTCTCTCTCAAGCCCATTTCTGGTGTCCCACACTAAACTCACTCACTCACTCTAATGGTCTCCCTCATTACAATTTCAGCAAACTACAGAGTGTGGCTGAAGACAGCATGCAAAGTGGAGAAAAGTGAGTGAAAAAGCAAAGAATATTGAATTCAGCCGTCCTTTATGAAATTGGTATCCCATGATGCCTTGGTCTCATTAGTTCATATTGGAGATTTTAATATCATTGCTGACACTGATCCAAGATAGTTGATAAAGGTTAATGGTTTTCCCTCCAAACCAGGTAGAATTTCTTTACGTCAGGCTTTCCCCCATGTGAAGCTAATATGCCTTAATACAACTGGAATACTGGTAAAAGCATTGTTACTTACTTATCACACTCTCCTAATACAAAATTACACCATTCATCTGTTCAAAGCAGTGTTAATCATGTATTATTGTGTCAGAATGCAGTGTCTGTTCTTTCCTAGATGTACATGTTTTCTTTGACATCTGTATTTCTTTGACATACTTATTATATTTTGGCATCTATATTTCTTTGACGTATATGTTTTACTCTCTTGCAGTGTAGAAAACATCACCAGTGATCTGAAGAAGTTTCTACTCATGTCCTACTTGAGATCCGGAAAGGTATGAAACATTTGATTCATCAGAACCTGCATAGTGACCGATAATTTGCCTCAAGTCTGCAGCACGTCAGTTAAAATTCCCTGTTTGACTTAAACCTAAACATAACAAAAACATTTGCAATGACTTAATCTAATTCCCAGCACCCCAACACCAACAAACGTGAGAAATAACACAACTATAATAATGTTACTGTAATATATATGATATAACTTTTATGAACTTATTAACTTCAACATGACATGGTTAATGTGTTCACTCTTCACCATCCGCCTCCGTGGTGTAGTGGTTTGAGCGTCCGCCCGGAGTGCGGAAGGTCGCAGGTTCGATCCCCGACCGTGTCATACCAAAAGACGTTAAAATATGGTACTTGTTGGTCCCTGCCTGGCGCTCGGCAGTAATGGGTACAACAAGGACTGGTCGGCTCGGAGTCAGTATAATGTGTCTGAGTGGGGTATTCATGCTTCACTGCGGCATGGTATCTCAGTGGGCTAGCACTATAAAACCAGCTTCATGCAGTCTGGGCTACTACAAGCAGCTACACATACACATACACACGCATGCACGTCGTCATATGAGCGAAATATTCTCAAGCACGACGTTAAACCCAATTTCACCTCCTCACTCTTCACGCTGAAGACTCGGGTTCGATTCCCCACATGGGCACAATGTGTGAAGATAGTTTCTGGTGTCCCCTGCCATGATATTGCTGGAATATTGCTGAAAGCGGCGTAAATCTAAACATACTCAACACGACGTGTGAACCATAAGTAAATGTTACACCAAACAAAGACAACATGTGAGACCTAAAATGTAGTTAGGCAAGGGAGGTAACTCCAATGCGCTTGTGTGACTCCAATCATGTTAACCCGTGAAGGTTCGGGTTAGAATGAGCCTTCAGTAACCCATGCTTGTCGTAAGAGGCAACTAACGGGATCGGGTGGTCAGGCTCGCTGACTTGGTTGACACATGTCATCGTATCCCAATTGCGCAGATTGATGCTCATGCTGTTGATCACTGGATTTTCTGGTCCAGACTCGATTGTTTACAGACCGCCGCCATATAGCTGGAATATTGCTGTGTGCGGCGTAAAACTCAACTCACTCACTCCAATCATGTTAATCATGTTGATACTGTCAAGAACTAACACCATGAACTTGTGGAACTGACTTGTATTTAACACATGTAATATTTGAGATTACACTTTCTCAGTAAAGTACAGATTCTAGTACTTTTGTTGGGTTGAGTCCCACCCAGGATTCGAACCCACACCTTCAGAATCAGGAACCTAATTGCCAATGTAATCATCATTCTGGTACACTAAGTCCGTGGTCTCGACTATCAGTTGTCCGAATTTCATATTTGTAGAAGCTACGGTAGCTGAGTGAGTTTGACGGCTGATTTTGTGTGCTGGCGATAAGGTGCTCTGAGGGTGTGGGTTCGAATCCCAGATGTGATTCAACCTAACAGCATCCCAAATAGAGCATGTTTTACATTGACAACTTCCTAAATGGCATTGTGTATTTCATGGCTTCTTGTTACGGACGAGAACATACCAATCTCACTTCTTGTCTTGGATGAAAATGAACTTTTCCCACTTATGGACGACAGTGGACTTAACCTGCTTCATGTTTTAGACGAAAATGGACTTATCCCCTTTCATGTGGACGAAAATGGACTTATCCCCCCTTTCATGGACTAGTCTGGTTATGGACAAAATGGACTTATCCCACTGCTTGTTATGGTTATGGAAAATGGACTTACACCAGTGCTTGTTATGGATGAAAATGGACTTATCCCACTGTTGGTTATGGATGAAAATGGACTTATCCCACTTCGAAAATGGACTTATCCCCTTTCATGTGGACGAAAATGGACTTATCCCACTGCTTGTTATGGACAAAAATGGACTTACACCAGTGCTTGCTATGGATGAAAATGGACTTATCCCACTGTTGGTTATGGATGAAAATGGACTTCTCCCACTGTTGGTTATGGATGAAAATGGACTTATCCCACTGCCTGTTATAGTCGAGAATGAGCTTATCCCACTGCCTGTTGTAGACGAAAATGGACTAGTCTCACTTCTTGTTATGGACAAGATTGGACTAGTACAATTACTTGTTATGAACGAAAATGGACTTATCCCACTGTTGGTTATGGACTTATCCCACTGTTGGTTATGGACGAAAATGGACTTATCCCTGCCTGTTGAATGTATACTGCCTGTTGATGAAAATGGACTAGTCTATAGGTTGTGGACAAGATTGGACTGCCTTGTTATAGAGAAAATGGACTTAGTCTGTTGGTTACTTGAAAATTGTTATGGACAAGACTGGACTTATGCCCACTGCTTGTTATCTTGTTATGGACAAGACTGGACTTAAAATGGACTTATCCCATTTCATATGGACAAAAATGGACTTATCTCACTGTTTGTTATGGACGAAAACGCACTTGTCCCACTGCTTGTTATGGTCGAAAATGGACTTGGCCCACTGCTGTTGTGGATGAGAACTTTCTTATCCCTGTTTGTTGTTGATGTTCTGCAGGTGCAGACAGAGGAGCCAGAAGCACGCCCCAAGAGACCAGATGTTGTTGCCTCTCTCCTGTCCATTTACATTGATCTGCTCGTGTACATAAACAGGTCAGTGATGCTTGGCTGTAGTTGCTTATCGGGCATACTCAGTATTACTTTCAGGTACAAATTTGTGTCTCAAAGATGTGTTGCAAGCCCAACTGACAGATGTTCTCAGGACCTCATGGAACCCTTTTCATAAATTTTTTGTACAATTCCCACAGACCCCCTTTGATAGACTTGTACAATTCCCACAGAAGTTTTTTGATAGACTTGCACAATAGATAGATTGATCTTCAGTAACCCACGCTTGTTGTAAAAGGCGACTAACAGGACCGGGTGGTCAGGCTCGCTGACTTTGCTGACACATGTCATCATATCCCAATTGCGAAGATTGATGCTCATGCTGTTGATCACTGGATAGTCTGGTCCAGACTCCATTATTTACAGACAATGCCATATAGCTGTATATTGCCCAGTGCGGCATTAAACAAGAAACCAGTCTGAGAGAACTGTTCATGAGCAGATACATGTTAATAATTAATCTTCATTATTTTGGTTCTCTTAAAAGTTTGTCTCATCAGACTATAGCTGTGTACTTGGAACTAATGAATATGAAGGTTGGTGATGGAATGTCTTTATTACCTGCAGGGATAATGAGAAAAAGAAGGTGTCAAGGGAAATAACGAGCTTGACGTCCTACCTTCTTGGAGATTTGCCAGTGAGACTTGACGTTCTTATCCAGATCAGCTCTCCAGTAGATTCAACACATGTGCTCATGTTTGCTAGGTGAGAATTGGAATTGAAAGCTGATTACCATATATCGCTGCATTTAAGCGACCTCATGTAGAAGATAACCCCCTTGTAAAACCTTCAAAATGGATTCTAATTTATGTACCCTGTCTATAAATTGACCATGAATGAAACTCTTCATCAATGCGTAAATTATCGCTATGTTTGCAAGGAAAATGTGTTCGTCTTCTGTTGTTGTTGTTTTGTATGATGTTTTGTCACATACAACTCTAGAATCTGGTGAGAGAGTGAGATATGTCCTTAAATTTTATGTCTTGAAAAGTTTATAAATTTGTTCAAAATGGCCAACATATACTTATAAAGAAAAGGTTAAGTGTGATCTATCAGAGGGACAGTTTGTGCTCAAAAGACTGCTTCCATGGTGTAGTGGTTAGAGCGTCCACCCGGAGAGCGGAAGGTCGTGGGTTCAATCCCCAGACACATAATACCAAAAGACGTTAAAATATGGTACTTGTTGGTCCCTTCCTGGCGCTTGGCATGAAATGGTACAACAAGGACTGGTCGGCTCGGAGTCAGTATAATGTGTCTGAGTGGGGTATTCATGCTTCACTGCGGCATGGTATCTCAGTGAACTAACACTAAAAAAACAGCTTAAGTCTGGGCTGGTGCAAGCAGCCGCACATACACACACATGCACTACATCATATGAGCGAACTATTCTTAAGTATGACGTTAAACCTCAATTCACCTCACCTTGTATTCAAAAGATTGTTGATGGTGATATATTCTGATGTTCATGCTGCTTTTTAGGTCTTCTGCAGAATCCAAAAATGTTTTGACAGACTAAGGCTAAGAACCAATTGAAAAAGCCATGAAACCTTTAATACCTTACAAAATCACATCTGTGTGAATATAGCCGTGATAGTGATGTATGGTTGGTCATTGATGCCTCCAGGTCGTGTTTAGAGAAGATTCCAGGAACTCTGGACCACGCAACATACCTCAGGGTCATGCTCTGTCTCCGGAAGTTCCACGACAAAATTCCAGATATCATTGAGGTATGTATAGATGCTGGCTTGGGAACCAGGTCTGTGTTAGGCTTTGTGGCTGGAAAGATAAGACTGTGACCCAATGCCTGGTCCCCAGGTATCCAGCCCCAATGCTTGTTCCCATGTAGTCAGCCCCAATGTTTGGTTCCAAGTATCCAGCCCAGTGCTTGGTCCCTTGTAACCATTACCTTATGCAATGCTTCTGGTAAACCATTTGCTACCACAAAATGGTAACTGAAAAATATTTAACACACTGCTATAGAACTTGATCTCAAGATCTCATTCGTCTTCTGTGCTTTTGCAACAGAAATTGTTTGCCTATACCCCTCCCTCTTCTCGTCAATTGCAGTGATTTTGAACCCATTTGACCTTACTAAGTATGAAGATGGTTCTATCTGCACTATTCAATGTCCTGAGCTATGATACTGTTAAATATACTGAGGGAAACAAGTAAGGGAACACATGAAAGCACAAACGTTCCATCTGATATGGATTCCTGTGCAAGCCTTGGGTGAAAATCTTACAATAAGCAACTCAGTCAGTCAGTCAGTCAGTCTCTCTCTCTCTCTTTCTCTCTCTCTCTCCCCCCACACACTCTTCCCTCACCTCTCCCCCTCTTCTGCCTCCCCCTAACTTTCGCAGCACAAATGACGTTTGTTTTACTCGATTGTATTGTTATACTCCATGTCTTTATTTGTTTGGTGCATCAACTTGTACTTACCTGACGACAGATTTTGTTGCAAGTATTTTAGTATTTGTACTCAAGTAGAATCTCTGTCTGTACCATCTTTTTATATTGCTACAGAACAGCTGGAAGATAAGAGCACCCTTGGGATTCATTGACTGGCTGCAAGACAAGAGTCCTGAGGCGATGACACAGATCCCTGATGACATCCGCTTCAAGGGGAGACAAATCACTCACTTCCTCCTTACAAACCTCTCAGAAGACCTGCAGACTGTTCTTGAAGACGTAAGAATGTGTCCTCTGCTAATATCCACATTTACCACAAAGGGTCCCAAGTGCCTGAAGCTAACTGTAAACTGAGTCAGCGCAGTGGCTGCTCATAGTGGATGGGACTCTCCTACCCAGAGTTCCGTGCGGCAAGCCAGCATAGTACCTCTGCCACAGGCCAGAAAAATGTGACGATTCGTCACATCTTGCAATGTCCATTCAATATAATGTACAGATTTCTTTTACACTTTTATTTTTGACGAGTCTACACATCTAATTAAATATCTTGTGTAATGGAATTGTTTACACTGAGAAAATATTGTAACACTATTTCGATTTGCGTAGCGATCCTTTGTTTACATAGGTTGTACGGCTCCACGTGCTGTCATCGAAGCTGATGGAGAGCAAACGATGCAGTCAGTTTGATATCTAAATATGTACTGTCATAGACCTTACTGTCGCAGTTGTGGAAGAATATATATGTAACAATGTAAAACGTTATGAAAAGAGCACCGAAAAGCTTTTGTGAGTCCAGTCTCATCATATTATGAATATGTGCGTTTGTTTACAAACAAGTGAAAAGTCCGGTAACGTGATATGCAAATTAGCCTGTGGCAGTGATGTTATGTTAGTCATCGCTGTGCCAGAGTGTGTTGGTTTGGGTTACTGTTTTGCATAACTACCAGTTTGTAACCTTGGCTATCCATGTGATGATTCTGCTGTTGGTTGTTTCAGCATCCGGGGGATAAACAGGCCCATGCTTGTCGTATTAGGCGACTAACAGGATCGGGTTGTCAGGCTCGCTGACTTGGATGACACATGTCATCATATCCCAGTTGTGTAGATTGATGTTCATGATGTTTGTCATTGGATTGTCTGGTCCAGAATTGATTATTTACAGACCACCACCATATGACTGGAATATTGCTGAGTGCGTCATAAAGCAACAAACAAACTGGAAGGATTAGTTTGTTGTCACCCGGACCAAACTGAGAGAGAATTGTCTTTGGTGATGTCCAAGACTCTCTCAAAGTACAATGTCGGGTGCTGACTAAAGTTTTGTGTGAAGACTCAAACCCTGATTTCCATTCTGCAGGTGCTGACGGACAGACAGGCTGTCAGTGACTTGATGTTGGTTGATGAGCAACAGGATGACCAGAAGGACGAAGATGGCAGTGGACGAGTGTGACCCGGAGGAGGAGCAGCCTCTCTTTGTCATGGACAGAGGGAAGACAGCTGATGATAGGGTGAGCTTCAGACTGGGCTGGGGTAGGGGTAGAGGAGGAGCAGACAGCTGATGATAGGAGGAGCTCTCTTTGTCATGGACAGAGGGAAGACAGCTGATGATAGGGTGAGCTTCAGACTTCGGGCTGGGGTAGGGTCAACTAGAGGAGGAGCAGCCTCTCTTTGTCATGGACAGAGGGAAGACAGCTGATGATAGGGTGAGCTTCAGACTTCGGGTTGGGGTAGGGTCGATTAGTCAGTGTGCTCACTTGCACCTGTGAAGGTCCGGGTTAGAATATTGGTCTTCAGTAACGGAATTGGGTGGTCAGGCACGCTGACTTGGTTGACACATGTCTTCGGTTCCCAATTGCGCAGATTGATGCTCATGCTGTTCATCACTTGATTGTCTTGTCCAGACTCGAATTATTTACAGATCGACGCCATATAGCTGGAATATTGCTGAGTGCGGCGTTTCAGTATAGCCCCAGAAACTCTAGCTTGTCAGGTGACATCACTACATTGGGTGTCGGATGGTACAGTCAAGCACTGGATTAGCTTCTGACTTCAGGCTGGGGTGTAGTTGACTGGTCAGTGTGCTCACTTGCTGTGTGAGAAATCTGGGTTTCAGTATAGCCCCAGAAACTCAGGCTTGTCAGGTGACATCACTACATCGGTGTCGGAAGGTACAGTCAAGGACTGGATTAGCTTCAGAATTTAGGCTAGGGGTGTGGTCGACTGGTCAATGTGCTCGCTTGCTGTGTGAAAAATCTGGGTTCGAGTATTTCTCCAGGAACTCAAGCTTGGCACTACATCGCTACTTTGTGTATTGGATGAACTGACACAGATGTCTGTCCTTATGGAGGATATAGCTGGGTATTGTTTCAATGCCAAGCTGGAAATAGTATAGTGGCAGTGGAGGGGTACCGGTATGATGAGCTGATAGCGTTACCTCTGACCCTAGGCAGCCAGCTTGAGTGGTATACTTAACTGGGAGCAGAGAATGTAAATCGGGTACACAAATAATCTTGTCCAGGGTAACAATATAATGCTTTAAGAATACAGGATCATGAGCATTGTAAATATACTCATTATCAATATTATGTTAAATGATTTTAGTGGGAACAGTACTAAAAAATATATAGGTGTTTTGTGTGTGTGTGTGTTTTGTTCTGATTTTACTGATAAACCCTAAGCGATATATCAATTTACTTTATTGAAATCCTTTGCTGTATGATTTCATTTGAAGGGCTTAGCATCAATCTGGGGCGGTGGGGTAGCCTATGTTGGCTCGTCATGCCGAAGAGCCGGGTTCGATTCCCCACATGGGTACAATGTGTAAGGCCCATTTCTGGTGTCCCCTGCCGTGATACTGCTGGAATATTGCTAAAAGCGATGTAAAACCATACTCACTCACTCACTCACTTAGCATCAATCTACATTTTTATCTTCCAGAAATCAAAACAGAAGTCGAAGGGAAAAAAGAAAATAAGTCAAAATCATCAACTGACCCCGTCCAAGAAGAAATGGACATTGAGTCTGAAGTTGAAGCAGAAGATCTGGAAACTTCGAGAACTGTTGACAATACAGCTGAAGCTGAAGTTGAAGTCATAGATCTGTCCAATGTCCTCAGTGCAATTTACGACAACAAACCAAACCAATATATCGGAACAGAATATGTATCCACTTCCTCACTGGATTCCCCTCGGAAAAAGTCCAAGTCACCGTTCAGCCTGCCGGCTACGAAAGACAAGGAAGAGCTCCAAGTTGGTAAAGCCGGACCAAGTTGATGAGATTGTACTGGACACATCTGATGCTGATGAAGCAAAGGATATGATGGTTCCCAATCTCGCTGCTCACCTCAAGCATGGCGAGCAGGTTGTTCCTGATATTTTCATAGTGGATGATTCAGAGGCTGGCAAAGCAGATTCGTTCACACAGATAAAAACAAAGGGAAAGAAAAGCACGACAATGTCAGTTACTTCTCAAATTGTTGACAGTGAATCAGAGGATATCACCTTGGTTCAGATGTTATCTCCCAACAAAAGTCCACACCTGTTGTCCCAGCTAAAGGTGATGTTAATATACAGAATGTAGAACAGATTTCTGGGAAAGGAAAAAAACGCTTGAGTTCAATTTCATCTCTTGAAGATAATGTATTTTCTCCAAAGAGAACTCCTAGTGTTAAGGTTAATGGAAAATCTCCCAATATCTTGAAAGTCAACAGCACACCTCAGTCCCCAAACTCAGCTGCTGTCATTGAAATAGAAGATACAGATTCCGCAATTGACACCGATAAAGAAAAGGATCTGCTGGGCAGTCCAAAACATAACTCGTCTCGCCTCACAGCCTCGAGTCAGAAGGAAACCAGTGACTCTGATAAAGAACAAACAAGGAAGATGAGAGATTCTGATTCTGATTCCAGAAAACCAACATCCAGGGTTTTGCAGCAGGATGGTAGTGCTAGTGGTGTAGGATTGAGATCGCGCAGACGTTCTGCCAACAGTGCTTCAGAATCTGAGTTGGCTGGTGAGCCATCAGAGCAGCAGATATCTTCCCCCAAACTTAATAAGCCAAACTCACCTATCAAAGGTTCTGTTTCTAGTCCAAATTTGGGTTCGAAGAAAGTTTCAGATCCAAAGATTCTTTCTCCCTTCATTAAACCAAGCTCAACTGTTCGTGATTCAATAGCCAGGTCGAGGAAGACTTCAGAAAAGGAAGATGCAAATCCATTTAGGAGTCCACGAGGATCCAAGAAAAGTTCTGATGAGGATGTTTCTGGTCCCGTGAGAAGCCCATCCAGATCTAAGAAGAGTTCAGATGAAGAAGCTGCAAGTCCATTGAGAAGTCCACGAGGGTCCAAGAAAAGTTCTGATGAGGATGTTTCTGGTCCCGTGAGAAGCCCATCCAGATCTAAGAAGAGTTCAGATGAAGAAGCTGCAAGTCCATTGAGAAGTCCACGAGGGTCCAAGAAAAGTTCTGATGAGGATGTTTCTGGTCCCGTGAGAAGCCCATCCAGATCTAAGAAGAGTTCAGATGAAGAAGCTGCAAGTCCATTGAGAAGTCCACGAGGGTCCAAGAAAAGTTCTGATGAGGATGTTTCTAGTCCCGTGAGAAGCCCATCCAGATCAAAGAATAAATCAGATGAAGAAGCTGCAAGTCAATTAAGAAGTCCACGAGGGTCCAAGAAAAGTTCTGATGAGGATGTTTCTGGTCCCGTGAGAAGCCCATCCAGGTCAAAGAAGAATTCAAATGAAGAAGCTGCAAGTTCATTTAGAAGTCCACGAGGGTCCAAGAAGAATTTGGCTACTCAAGATGCAATACCTTTGACAACTTTGAGTCTGAATAAGGATTCAAATGAGAAAGTTGTAAAACCTGTGAGAAGCCCAAGGCGACGCAGCTCAACGTCTCTGTCCATCGAGGAAACTGAACCGTTGACAGATACCTCTAGAAGTCCAAGAAAGAAACATGAGCTTGAGCCATCTGCCGTACCCAGTTTGGAAACAAGTTCAACATCTCCTAGAAAATCTGAAGGTAATATAAGCCCAACTAAACCACAATTAATCAGCCCTATGAGACAGTCATCACCAGTTAAGAAGCCAGCGCCTGTTGATGAGTCTGTCACCCTGAAAACACCAAGTCGCACGCCACGAAGGAAGAGCGCCATGTCTGCTCAGGAGATGTCAAGTGTTGCCAAGGAGGCCAAAGTTCTTGATACTGATACCGTGTCTGAAGATGATGTTCGCAAATCTTCCAGAAAAAGGAGATCAACAAGATCTGGGACTGACGATGAAGATGCTGCACCAAATGTTAAAACTCCAAGGAGAGGAAAGAAAGGATCAAAATTGGATGAAAGTCGTGGCACAGAGTCCAGTGATGTATTTTCCTCCCCAGATCGAGGGAGCAGGAAGACATCCATATCACTAAACAGGAGTTCAGATAGCAGCTCAAAGGCAAAAATTACCAAACTTACATCTTTGTCTGATCAGGACATTGAAGCAACTTCTCAAAACAGTGCAAAAAAAATGAAAAAGACTGTTTCTACTTCAGATGGTAGTCAGATAGATATCCCAGAGTTATCCGACAGTCAACATGTGAAGACCAATTCTAATACCACACCTGGTAAGAACACTGTGAGGCAGACGCCAACTAAAGGGGATGTTAAAACTCCGAGGAGAAGTTTAAGGGCAGCAGTCATTGATTCCCCTATGGTCACAAGGTCAGGGAGGAAGGTCAAAACCCCAAGGAAAGGGAAGACAACTCCAGGTGCCACACCTTCATCAAAGTCAATGCAGACTATTAGGGAGGACAATGAAGATGGAGAGGTGGTCTTCAACATGACGCCAGCCAAACAGGTAATCAGTCCTTTTAACACTGATATACAGACTTTGTGTTTGAGAAAGCATGGTGTCAGTTTGAAATATTTATATACAGAAAACAATCAAGATGTGAGTAGCACTGCCATAGCCCAGAGATGCCAAACTCCTTTATCATAGTCGCTACCAAATTTAAGGCTTTAGCTACGATAATACGTTTGCAGTAGAAATTCTACGAAATTTGAAGAAGATTCATGCAAAATTCGGATATATAAACAAAAACAAATGTTTTCGTCGATTAAATACATTTTTTGACTTCAATTACCCTCCATTCATCAAATTTAATGACATATTTGAACTGGAATCATTGCAAGTAACAATCTGGAAATCTGCTGTTGGAGGTATGTGAAATTAAAGCTTCAATGTTGAATAGTATCATTTTATCTTTTTGAGAATCTATCATGTTTTTTAGTATTTAGTTGACTACTAATTTTATGGTCAAACTACTAACTTTGATCCTTGGAACTACTATTTTGCAACACTTTGGGGTTGGCGTCTCTGATAGCCAGGTGTGTAAGTGCATTAAACACAACTGTCTTTTTCTGGCATATTAATTCACGCAGTCAAATTCTCACTAATGCCAGGGGAGCTGTGGTAGCAGAATCGTTGATGGGGCTGCCTATCGATAAAGATCATAGAGACCGATAATCTTTAACAAGATACTGATTGATTATCCATAAATATCAGAGACCTAACTTTGAGCAAAAGTGTCTGAAAGAAGTGAATATATTTCATATCACTGGTGTGTGGTGACATGTGTTTGTATGGGTTATTAACAAAACAGCGTCCCGAACATAAAACATCTGACTGGAAAGTCTAAGGTCATCGCCATCCCCTGGCTATGTAAAGTCTTAAGACCAGTATCCATGAAGATCTGGGTTAGATTAGGTCTTCAGCAACCCATGCTTAAAGTTCTTGAAAGGCAATTTGATGAAGGAGGTAGAATCAGCTCTCAAACGTCGTGTAGAGAATATAAGAAGCTGTTATACATAAAAAGGTGTCATGTATTCAAACCCATGCTTGTCGTAAAAGGCGACTAACGGGATCAGGTTGTCAGACTTGCTGACTTGGTTGACACATGTCATCATATCCCAATTGCATAGATTGATGCTCATGCTGTTGATCACAGACCACTGCTATATAGCTGGAATATTGCTGATTGATGCGTTAATCGACTAACCAACCAACCAGAAGATCAGTGTGGTTTTAATTGTTTTCCACTTGGATATTTTAACCTCTTATCGTAAATTGCATTCTATTTTTTACAGAGGAAAGGTGAAAGTGTGACAACACCTCATCGGTGAGTACTGTATTTAAACAACATGTTTGCCTGGAATGGCTTTCAAATGCTAGTTTGTGCTTCAAACTCTGTTACATTACATTATCACTGTTTTTCTCTATGTAGTGTTGGGCGGTGGGGTAGCCTAGTGGTTAAAGCGTTGGCTCGTCACGCCGAAAACCCGGGTTCGAATCCCCACATGGGTACAATGTGTGAAGCCCATTTCTGGTGACCTCCGCCGTGATGTTGCTGAAATATTGCTAAAAGCGGCGTAAAACCAAACTCAGTCAGTCTATGTAGTGTTACATCAGAGTTAATTATTAGGGCGGTGGGGTAGCCTAGTGGTTAAAGTGTTTGCTCATCACGCCAAAGACCCGGGTTTATTTCCCCAAATTGCTACAATGTGTGAAGCCCATTTCTGGTGTCCCCGCCATGATATTGTTGGAATATTGCTAAAACTGGCATAGAACCATACTCACTCGCTCACTACTTGCAAAAATGGCATTCCAACACAAATTGAATCACTGTTGGTCTAGGTTCTTGATAAATGGTAAAATGGTTTCTATTTTCAGCTCAGCTCGCAAGAAGACTCACGAGTGATAACTGGATGAAGACAGGATCCAAGGGGCTTTCATTACATACCAAACGCATGTCTTTCTTGACTAGGAATAAGTAACTTTTGTCTATGTCCTCTAGAAGAATCAATTATCTGTGTAATGTAATGGTAAATATTGTTTAATTCTTGGGGGTTAAAGCGTTGGCTCGTCACGCCGAAGACCCGGGTTCGAATCCCCACATGGGTACAATGAGTGAAGCCCAATTCTGGTGTCCCCCGCCCTGATATTGCTGGAATATTGCTAAAAGCGGCGTAAAACCAAACTCAGTCAGTCAGTTTATTTCTTGGTTTGCAGAAACAGGTGAGGGTGGTCTGACTTGTGTCCGAGTAGTGTGGATCAATGCCTATCATGTCAGTCACTGGATTGTCTGGCCCTGACTTGATTATTTACAGACCATTGTCCCGTAGCACTAAGATTGCTGAGTGCAGAGTTAAACACATCTATTTGAGTGAAAAATTCAGGTGTCATGAGATTTTGGATTTTTGTTCTCGTCTGACATGTGTCGGAAAATGTATACTGTTTGAGTCAAGCTACTCTTTTGTCTTCCAGTTCCAGTTTTCTCTGAACAAGCATAATACATGGACTGTATTTGACAGGGTTGGCAGGGGTGGAAATTAACCCATTGCCCGACGTCCTAGTTCAGTGTTTTTTTCCGTCAGGCAAGCAAATTTGTATATCACACTGTACCGGTGTCGAGTTGACTTTCCAATGTTAATTATGTTGTTTATCTAACAAATCAGCAAGAAAACGGTCGGTATGGTGGAAAAATTATCAGGGCAAGTGACTTTACATGTGCCAATGTACCGGAGTACACTGTCAATTTTAAAGTTATTTCCACCCCTGGGTTGGGGGTCCAGAGGGACTTGGTTGAGGGTCACCAAAATATGCGACAATCTCTGAGTACAATATTATACAAACTTTATGGATGACAACTTCTTTTATTTCGTGAGTGAAATGTTTCGATACAGATTCTTGTGCCGTTGTCAAGCAGATTTATTACACAGGAGGATGTGGCAGAGGGATGAATGATGGGTACATATAAAACAAGTTATCCATCAAGTGTGTTGAATATTGCACATCCCAGCTTCTAAAATGCCATTCAAAGTTAGTAATGTCTGAGTGGGCGCTAACAAATCAGGCATGTTTTTGCATCACAAAAAAAACATCTTGATTCATTGATTCATTTTGTCTTCATTGATCAGATCTGTGTACCAGTTGATATAAATTATGCCCAAAGTCTGATTGATCAAGACTTACGGTTAATACCAAACTCCAAGTCAAACCTGTTTGTGCAAAGGAAATATTACTGTTTATTTATTTCAATTTGTAATTCTTGTATATTTTGGCAATTGTTGGTGCAATGAGATGAATGATATAATGTGCCTAGAGGTTTAAGCAATATCTTGTCACCACAATGGCCCGGGTTCGATTTTCCACAAAGTGTGAAGCCCATTTCTGGTGTCCACCGCCGTGATATTGCTGGAATATACTTTGTATCTAAAAGCGGTGTAAAACCCAACTCACTCTCTCACAAGTTATAATCCCCAGTCAGTGGATCAGTTGGTACTCAAGCGTCATCCTCTTTGAAAACCCAGTAAAATTTAATTCACATTATCACCTCATCCTTCTGGGTACCCTTTTACTGCTATTTTAGACAGAGCTAAGGAAATCTGGATTTGAAAAAGAGAAATATATTTTCAAAATGTACATCTGCATACATACACTTTACAGTGAGTCTTCATATGGCTTAATTTCATCATGAACTGGTAAGTCAATTTTGTTATATTTCATGGAATGTACTAAAAAAGGCTGGTGTTCAAACCTGTACACACATGGGGTGTGGCCTCTTTGGCTTGTCAAAGCTGTCTTTGGATGTAAAGCAATGCAGTATTCAAGTTCTGAGTACTTTAAGGATTCAAACACTTTGAGCAGCCTCAGAATGAGGGGTAGTCCCATGGTTCAAGCGTTCGCTTTTCACACTGATAACCAGGGTTTGATTCCCCACATGGGTACAGTATGTGTCCTCTACCTCAATATTGCTGGAATATTGCTAAAAGCGGCATAAAACCTCACTCACTCACTCACGCAGCATTCTGCTTGTCAGGACATTATTGGTGTTTGATTATCCCTGTATGATATGATTTGATTGATAATCTCTCCTGCTGGCACGTTTCATAAATGGGTGCTAAACACAGTGTGTAGTAGCACATATGTGATGGTTAAATACATCACATTTTGTTGAAATAGATCGCTATATATGCATACTGTTAGGCCATTTTGTATACAAATAATTTGTTTTGTTCATAAACTGAACAAAGAAGAATAAAGGTTCAGGAATATAATTTTGGATATAGTTTTTGTAGTGAAGACTGACCTCAGTTTCAAAACATCTCCAAAAATGTTCATGATCCTCAACTTCTATTAGGTCAGTATATCATATTTTCATTGTGGATATCAGAACATCTTCACCATATGGAAAGTTATCAGAATTATTACAACTATCCTGGTCACAGCCCAGCATTAAATGTACTCAAAACATGTTCTATTAAAAATAACCTGTAAAAAGGTTGCATCCCATGTCCATCCTGATTATTGGCAGATATTAGCACCATTAGTTTGTGTACATCGGCTCGGTGGTTAAAGTCCGAGACTTTCATTCTGTTTTCCTGTCCTGTCTTTTAAAACTGAAATAGAGTAAAAGAATTGAAATACTGTTTGCTGCTCGGAGTAAAAGACCACTCGCCAACTGAGTTGTGGTTTAGTGGAAGCCAAGTTTCTCATTAAAGGGCCACCTTATAGCTGGAATATTGCTGATTGTGGGCTTAAACAACAACAAATGTATTAAAGCAGTGATGGCTATTGGCTGAATTGCTGAATTCTAATGGTGTCCTGCAGTGATGTTACAGCTGTCTTTGATTTGCCAACATCATGAGTCTGAATTTTAGATTTCCCAGATTATATTTCGTAAGCGCAATACCTTTGTGCTGTGAGTTTCACCAAAGTGTTCTGAAACCTAAATCACTTGGGATTTCCCCCATGCATTAAGCAGACATGCTGCGACATCTGTGAAATGCTGTACAAGGTGGTGCTAAAACCATCTTGACTTGTAATAGTCCAGCAGGCCTTGCTAACTTAAATATATTGTTCATATCAGTCAGTTGTTTGTCCTTTTTCATGAGTCAAAGTGATACAACGGATCTCTGCAGTTCTTGTTGGATTCCACTGCAAATGCAGTTTTTCACTGTTTTAAGGAATTTCTTAGCTGTGGTTTTGTATATTGATAAGAGGGATCTGATGTGGACAGATTAGACAGACCCATGCTAGTCATACGAGCCCACTTAGATGAATTTTATCCTATTCTAGGTAAATATGGCTCATTACAGCAGCCTTTGGATTACTTAAATTGTGCTCAACATCATTTGTAAAACATTGCACTTGTAAGGAAAGTGTCTGCATACTTGTTTAGCTGCTTGCAACTTTGACAGACTTGGCCGGCTAAATAATGCCGGCCAACTGAGACACTGTAGTGGTTCAACACCTCCAACCATATAACGGGTGGTGGGGTAGCCTAATGGTTAAAGCGCTCGCTCAACACACCAAAGGCCTGGGTTCAATTCCCCACATGGGTATTGTGTGAAGCCTATTTCTGCTGTCAATAAAGCAATACTCCAGTATAACGACTTCAAATCGACCAGCCCAGGTTTCATCACATGTCAATGCCTGGCACTAGACAGGGTGACAAGATGTACCTGATTTTGACGTCTTTGTTGTGACGCAGCCAGAAATCAAAACAAAACACAACACACACACACACTTTGTATCTACAAGACCAAGAAGCTGGTCCTTTACTGTGAAAGCTTTTACCGTTGACTAACAGGCCAATGATAATAACCAGCGCTAAGATGATCGTAACTCCCATTCTTTAACGTAGACTTACGACAGTCGTAGTGCTAAGATGATCGTAACTCCCATACTTTAACGTAGACTTACGAAAGTCGTAGCGCTAAGATGATCGTAACTCCCATACTTTAACGTAGACTTACGACAGTCGTAGTGCTAAGATGATCGTATCTCCCATACTTTAACGTAGACTTACGACTGTGGTAGTGCTAAGATGATCGTAACTCCCATACTTTAACGTAGACTTACGACTGTGGTAGTGCTAAGATGATCGTAACTCCCATACTTTAACGTAGACTTACGACTGTCGTAGTGCTAAGATGATCGTAACTCCCATACTTTAACGTAGACTTACGACTGTCGTAGTGCTAAGATGATCGTAACTCCCATACTTTAACGTAGACTTACGACTGTAGTAGCTACGATCGCGTTGAGGAACGGGACCCAGGTTTTCAGAATTTAACAAAAGCATGCGCTTAAAATTCATTCAGTGGAACAATTTTAATAAAACATCTGTGTTCACAGAAAGGTATATTGTCTGTGTTGATGAATCTCGTAAGTTACTTTTGTGAATCAAGTTGTTCATGACCTGATCATATGGCCCAAAATGTACATCTCTGAATATGAAAAGCCTGTGATCCGATTGTACAGTTATGTAATCTTGATGTGATTCGGTGCTGGGACTTCAACATTATCAAAGTGCTTCCATGCCGATCGATGCGGGTGCTCAGTCATCGACCCAAAAAAAGTTAGAATTGGCCAACAGCAACCCGTTGATCGGGTGGTCAGACTCGCTGACTTGGTTGCCACATGTCATATCGTATCCCAATCATAGGCGGATCCAGGAATTATCCAAACCCCGTTAGCGGAACGGTTTTAGGCAAAAGTGAGAATGAAAATCAACCCATCAACTGATACGGATTGCTAAAACAAACATTCATTTTCAAAACGGGACATTTCCACAAAAATCGAGTCACTTTATAACTTACAAACCCTGAAACAGAGACGCTTCTGTTTGTCGGCCATTTTGGTTATGCGAGCACAGCGTGGTATAGTGCAAACTCGTCTGGTTATATGCTGGACTAAACTGAAATAGTTTTGAACGCCACGTCCAAACACTTCATCTCACTCACCAGCTGGTTCACTATGAAGAGAAAGTATTTGCATCCTAGCTTACAGTAAACTGGCCCTGGTTCTATGTCTGGTGAGTCAGCCATTGATTCTGTATAGTGTGTTTACTACCCCTACATTCCCTATCGAATTTCCCGTTGTACAAGAGAAGAATTGCCTCGTTTGTTATTGAATTAATATTCAAATACAAATTACACGTACAAGCAAAGGTTGAGTTGAATTGAGTTTGGCTTTACGTCACATCGGCATTATTCCAGCCATATAGTCACAAGAACAAGTCTGCATTAATAAACATTGTAAGTACATAGTCACAATGAGTTTTATTTCAGAAACATATATTCATTACATTGTCATTTAAAAACAGAAAAAGTCATAACACTAAATTTAAAGGCAGGCAATTTGTTAAACAAGCAAAGGAAAGTATCCAAGTCAAATGTATTTAATTAGAATTTGGATTCAAAAGTGAAACCGTATAAAAATTCATATAAAAAGAACATTCTTCGAAATTCAACAGATACATATGAATTCAGAGCACATTATTACATTCGTTAACAATGTCAATATACGTAAAGCATAATCACAAGATTCACAAGGACAATTAAACAGCTAAAAATATTCATCAGGACATAGAGCGTACAGAAAGAACAGCAAGAAAAGCCGTAACACGTCACGTTAAATGGCAGAAGTG